TGGTATTTTTGATCATTCCCTGGCAGGTCCAGCACCATTTCTACTAGCTACCATGGCTGAGCAATCACCGTTTTCCTCTTCCTTCTCTTATGGATGGACTTATGATGTATTTATCAACTTTAGAGGTGAAGATATTCGCTTTGATTTTGCTAGGAACCTCTACGAGGCTTTACAGCAAAAAGGTTTCCATACTTTTTTAGACAACGAAAGGCTTAAAAAAGGGGAAAAGATTACACCATCGCTTCTCAAAGCAATCCGAGAGTCTAGAATGGCTATTACTATTTTCTCCAGAAATTATGCTTCCTCTACATTTTGTTTAGATGAGCTTGTTTAGATCTTTGAGCATATACATAAAAAAGGTAGATTGGTTTTGCCTATTTTTTATGACGTGGATCCATCAGAAGTACGGCGTCAGAGGAAAAATTACACAGAAGCGTTTGCTCAGCATGAGAGAAGGTTTAAACATGACAAGGAGAAGGTGCAAAAATGGAGGCGGGTTCTACAAGATGCTGCTTGTCTCTCGGGTCTCCATTTCAAACTTGGGTATTTAAGTACATTGCCTCTCTTTTGCTTTACATCTTTTATTTGTTTATTTGATATTGATAGTTACTACCAAATTAACTTCTAAGAGAGGCTACAACACAAGTTATGACTTTCAAAATTTGAAGTGCTATATTATTTCCTATCAGCTCTTATGTGTCTTAATAGAGAAATGAAAACAGAGCTTGAACTTATTTCAGCTAATATAGTTGTGTTTAGTTTATTTGGTGGTTAGTTTTTCAGATGCATATGTTATTAATAACTAAGTGAGACCTAGAATCATGAAAACCACAAAATCTAAAGTGCTTGAATCTTGTATTGATATGTTTTGTGTCAAAGTGTTTGTTTTGATGCATTTTGTATGAATCTAACTTTGTCACAAAATCAAAAGATTGATTTGACGCACTTAGTTTGAATTTTCCCAAAAATTTGCTATTGGTGCAGGAATCAATATGAATATGCTTTTATCAAAGCGATTGTTAAAGAGGTCAAGAATAAGATTCACCGTAGACCATTACATATTGCTGATTATCCAGTTGGGCTTGAGCCTTGAGTGCTAAAAGTAAACTCTCTTCTAGATGTTGGCTCAAATGACGAAGTCCGAATGGTAGGAATATGTGGCACTGGTGGAATAGGAAAATCAACAATTGCATGAGCAGTATGCAGTTTGATTGTGGACTCATTTGAAGGCTTTTGTTTTCTTACCAATGTTAGAGAAAATTCAATTAATCATGGCCTAGCATATCTCCAGGAAATGCTTCTCTCTGAAGTACTTGAGGAAGAGATTAAGTTTATTGATATTAATAAAGGAATTCCAATAATAAAGCATAGGCTCCACAAAAAGAAGGTTCTTCTAGTTCTTGATGATGTTGATAAGCTAAAGCAATTACAAGCAATTGTTGGGGGACTTGGTTGGTTTGGTTCTGGTAGTAGAATCATTGTAACAACAAGGGATAAGCATTTGCTAGTAAGGCATGGTGTTGAGAGAATTTATGAGGTAGATTGTTTAAATAAAGAAGAAGGTCTTGAATTGCTTAGATGGCACGCCTTTAAACAGAGTAGAGTTGATGCAAGTTATGTGGATATTTTAAACAATGTACTACTCTATGCTGGTGGTCTTCCATTGGCTTTGGAAGCTATAGGTTCCAACTTGTTCAATAGAGAAATAAATGATTGGAATTCTGCATTAGAAAGTTATCAGAGAATTCCAATTAAAGAGATCCAACAAATTCTGAAGGTAAGCTATGATGCTTTGGAGGAATACGAGCAGGAATTTTTTCTTGACATTGCTTGCTGCTTCAAAGGTGACAGTTTTGAGTATGTAAGAAGTGCTTTGTATGCACGTGGTATATGCCCAGATTATGGTGTTAAAGTGTTGATTGATAGATGTCTCGTGAAGATTAATGATGGTAAGGTGATTATGCATGATTTGATTCAAGCCATGGGTAAAGAAATTGTGCGACAGAGATCACCCTACGAGCCTGGTAATCGCACTAGGTTATGGTTTCATAAAGACATTATTCATGTTTTAGAAGAAAACAAGGTAAGAGTAATCTTTACATTTATATTTTCTTATTATTATATTTTTTGATCAAATTGTTCTCTGGTTTTCCCTAATCTAAAATCCTCTCCCTAATAAATCTTGAAGGCACACATGGCTTTTTCCCCCTCTTCCCATTCCTTGACTAACCTAGTATTGTTTTTGCACTTGTAGATTATAATCCACATATCCAACCCCACTTAGTCGGATAATGCTTGTTGTTATTATTATAGTTGTAATCTAATATTTTCTCCGTCCCAAACTATTAGATAATTTGAGACAAGATTGCACATACCAATAAAACACAATAATGATATTTTACAAACTTTTTTAAAACAAAACTATAAACTTTTAAAAATGCTCCTACACATTTAATCATTATGCTATAATATCATTTTAATTCTTTCTCCACTTGAAGGATAATATTGGAAAAGTATCAATAATGAAACATTAGTTTTCTCACATTGTCTTATATTTTGGGACCAAAAATCCCTCCAATGTTGTTTTATAATTTGGGAGGAAGGGAGCCTTTTTTTTTTTTAACTGAAATTTATACCAATTTGTAATAAATCTGACAGATTTTGTGGTATACTATTTATTTGGTATGCAAAGAGTATCTAACAGATTTTGTGGTTTATTATGTTATTCGGTATGAAAGGGTTCTGGGAATATTGAAGCCATAAATCTAGAGATGCCTGGAGATGAAGCGATTGATTGGAGGGGAAAGGCCTTCAAAAAGATGCCAAATCTTAAGATGCTTATTATTAGAAATGCACACTTTTCTACAGGTCCCAAGTATCTCCCGAATGGTTTAAGGGTGTTGGATTGGAAGGGATATCCTTGTCCATCTTTACCGTCTGATTTTAACCCCAAGGAACTAATTATCCTAAAGATGCCTGATAGTTTCCTCAAGCGGTTTGCACTAATCAAGGCAAGCAGAGTATTGCCACTTTTCATCATTATTTCGCTTTATGGTGAAGCAAGAACACCTCAATTTGTTCCATCCAATTTTGTCTGTATTAATGTTTGTGTTTTTTGATGTTTTGTGACGTTCTTACAATTTATTAAGACTAGTTGTTTTTATTCTCTTTTTTTGCAGAAGTTTCAGTCTCTGAGCCTGATGAATTTCAGAGGTTGCAAATTTTTAAGACGAGTTGCTGACTTATCTGCAGTTCCAGATTTGAGGGAATTGTGTTTCGATGGGTGCAACAAGTTAACTGAAGTTCATGTTTCCATTGGATTTCTTGGTAAACTTAAAAGGTTGAGTGTTAAAAACTGTTGGAAGCTCAAGACCTTTCCAAGTATCAGGTTAACATCCCTAGAGTTTCTTGACCTTTCAGGGTGCTCCAGCCTCAGGAGATTCCCAGAAATATTAGGAACGATGGAAAATATCAAAGATATCCGTTTGGACTTTAGCGGCATAGAAGAATTACCTTTGTCATTCAAAAACCTTGTTACCTTAGAAAAATTAAGACTTTCATTTTGTAAAAGTATCAAAAACATTAGGGGCATTCCACCAAACCTAAAAGAATTGTCAGCAATAAACCTTGATTGGTACTCACACTTGAGCTCAGAGTCTCGTAGCATCTTACTGTGTCAGGTTAGTTGCTCTCTTTCACCTTTTTAATTGCATCTATATGATGATTTATGAACTACTTTTAAGTAGTTGGTTCTAACACGCACATAATGAAATGATATTATTTGATAAAATAGCATGGCAGTTGAACAAAACAAAAAAATAATCATATTTCAAACATTGATGTTTTTTTCTTGATCTAGCGTTTCTATTGTTGGAACTAGTTTATGTTATGAATTGCTATTATGCTTATAGAAATAACACAAGACTTGTTACTCTATAGATAGTTCTCTCTAATTCTTCTTCTACAACAGTAATCTTTGAAATGATCTTGCTCCTTAATCTGATCTGCAACAGGCTTTACGTGAGGTTGATGGCTTGAATTTCATAGGAGAAGATGACAAGACACCGGAATGGCTTGACCACTATGTCATTGGAGATTCATTGTCCTTTTGGTTCCAAAAAGAATTCCCAAACATGGCTGTATGTTTTTCTGCATTAATAGAGGACTGTGTCACACCACCAAAACTGCTTATCAACGTCCGAATTAATGGCACTGATGTTGGACACCCAGATGGTCAAACAATATTTGGATCACTTGCATCACAACATGTATTTTTGTTTGATTTGCGATGCATAGTTCTTGAGGATAAAGTCAAGAGTGTGGTTTTAGAGCATGAACGGAACCACATGGAGATATACTTTGTCTTGTGTTACATAAACTGCTATCAAGAGGAAGAGGGTAATATATGTAGAAAAGCAAGGGTAAAATGGAGTGGAGCATATGTGTACAAACGAAAATCCAGAATGGAGGATATTCGATTCATGGATCATAACCAGGAGCCTGTCTCTGAGTTATTTAAAGGATCTTCCTTGAATCCAAATAGTGATGCTGAGTTATTGCGTAGAGTCAACTGGTCCTACATTTATTTCATCGAATTCAGTGAAGTCAGAACCAACGAGGCAGGCATGTGCTTTTTACCTGAACACACACCTCAGTCTCATTCAGTCACAGAAAGAAACAATAACAAGAGAAAAAGATAGAGGTACGGGGATTGTCTATCATTACGGGTCCCATCTTAGACGAGGAAGGATGAATGAAAAGAAAAATGCCATGCAGCTCTTTAAACAATGCTATGAGAAGTTGTTTGAATGTTCTCTTTGTTACTTGGTTTATCTAAATTAGTTGAGAACTTTATCATATCAACTTTGGATAGAGAAAGACACAATGCATGCAGACATTATAATTCACAAGGATCATTATTCAGATCATTTGTAACCGTCCACAGTCCTCTGGTTCCCGGGCTTCCTCGTTCCCCACTTCTGGTGGTGATTGATTATGTTATTTCTTTTAAGGCTTATTATAAGCTTATGTGATGGTGTGTTCTTTGTTATCACATGGCACAAAAGTAGGTTTGGTGGAAACGACATGCCAAGTGCTTCAAATGGGCGAGGTAGAAACTAATAACTGGGTATGTGATCCTATACGGTTGTCGAAATTATTAATTTGAAGTCTGATTTACTGAGGTTGCAATTTTCTTGTGTGCTTTGTTTTGGAAACAAAGCTGTTAATCAGATTGCAGCAAATAATCAGATTGCAGCAAATAATACCATAGAGAGGTTAGGTAGGAATTGCAGCAAATAATCTTCTACTGGTTTCATATTTGGTAGCCGAGAATTTGGGGGGAAATTTTCTTATTTTCGTCTTCTGGATTCAGTTTGGGGATATATAATCTCGACTAATTTATTTTGTTACATTTCATTCCCGCGTGAATGCATTTCTATTTCACGCCCATGTTTTTGACTTGATCATGTTAAAAAAAAAAAAAATCCATTTTGTTGACTTGATCTTCTCGTTCTAGTAGATAACTTCTCATGTTTTCTTTACTGATGAAACTAGGATTTTGTTCAATTGATTTTATATTGCTACTCATTTTTTGGTCCGCTTCATGAGATTCTTTTTTTAAAAAAGAAAATTTAACGATTTGCTAGCGTAACGAATGAGCATGAAAAATTTATGACTTATGATTCGTTATAATTTTATATCATATAAAGTATAGATATTAGCACTTTAAAGAACTGGTATTTTTGATCATTCCCTGGCAGGTCCAGCACCATTTCTACTAGCTACCATGGCTGAGCAATCACCGTTTTCCTCTTCCTTCTCTTATGGATGGATTTATGATGTATTTATCAACTTTAGAGGTGAAGATACTCGCTTTGATTTTGCTAGAAACCTCTACGATGCTTTACATACTTAGGGCAAAAATATGATTTTGGTCTCAAAAAAAATTACAATAAGGGCCCCAAAACCTGTAGTGTAATATCAAACTTTTTCAGGTTCATAGTGAAATTATATGTGTTTTTAGGGCGTTTAATGCGATTCTTCCTTTTATTATCTTGTTCCATTCGCTTCTTAAAACCTTGAACCACTTTGCATTACCTATACATAATACAAATAACCACTATTTTTTTTTTTAATCACTTCATCATGTTTGTTTAGTTTCATTCACAAGCAGAGTCATGTAGAGTGAAGCATAATTTAAATCCGTTTCCCACTAAATCTCCCTTCCTTTATCTCTGGAAAGAACTTCACTTTTCTGGTAATATACTCTTGGACTCTAATGAAGTTCATCATCATCATCATCATCATCATCATTTGCAACAGGAATTTCACAAGGTTAACGTCTTGACCATTGAAATGAGTGAAGAAGACATTATGCCAGAATGGTTTGACCACTATAACGAGGGAGGTTCGATGTCTCTTTGGATCCGAAACGAATTCCCAGACATGGCTTTATCTTTTGCTGTAGGAATTGGTCCTCGAGTGCCAGATCGTCAAGTGCCATGTCTTGCTCCTTATGTTATCATCGATGGCAAAACTATTCCTGACAAAGCCAGAGTATTTTGGGGAAGAATTTATGGAAGATTTACATTGCATGATGTCTTGTTCTTTCCAGGGATTAAATATGAACATTCACTTTTGAGGAGACGTGAATGGCACCACATGAAGATTTCTAGTATCTTGATTCCTGAATAATCTGCACAGGTAAAGTGGAGTGGCATATTTGTGGATAAGCAAAATTTCAAAATGGAAGATATCAGTTTCATAAATCCTTAAGTGGATGAAGTGGAGGTACGTTTACTCTGAGTTAGTTTTTAATTAGTTGTCTGCTTATATAAGCAAGTGACTGCGTTGATTTATGAGACATCCAATAAGGCAGTTCTCTCTATTTTATTTGAACCCTGAAGGAAGGATGAATTATGATCTCAAAATTAATATCCTGCATTGTAAAAATGATGAGACACGTGGGGAGTGATTCTTACTGTGGTGCACAAATTTACAAATCTTGTCACATTTCTGTCCTTTTTTTTTTTTGAACTAAAAGTGATCATGATATCACCAACAGGCAATAACAAATCCAAGAAGAGCTAATGAATGGGGAGGCCAAATTGAAAATAAATCATGAAGTGAGGGGTGAAATTTTATTTTAATATTTTTTACAAGTAAAAATTCTAATTTTTTTCCAAAGGATTATTAAAGTGTGTGGGGCAAGGGCTGCCCTTGCCTCTCAAGACTTCTACTTGCCAACAGATGTTGGCTCTTATGAATGTAGAAAATGCTTTGAATAGATATATTTTCAATTAGACTCGGAAACACTTAAATCTAACCCAATTAGATAATCCTATAATACAAAAGTGATCATGGTATCAAAATTGATGTTTGAGGATATTTATATGTCGTTGTCAATAAAATTTCTTATCCTTAAATGGTGACTGCATGCATGCAGAGCTACCAAACGTTGCATCAGTATATTGAGTATTCTTCTTAGTGTCATCCCTTCAAAGATACAATCTACATTCTCCATCATTGCTTATCATAGTAATAGATTTCGCTTCCCTTCTTCTACCAATTTCTCACCCTACTGTCTTCTTAACTTTCCCAACCTTGAATCAGAAGTTAAATGTTTGAGATTTAACATGTTACAAAGTTATTATTATAATATTAAATAAATAAATTTAATTTTTTTAATTGTATTATAATTTCATGTTTACTATTTGATTGAATGAATTGCCGGGCAATCCTAACTTATCAATTCATGATTTTTCATTTTTGTTTAGGCTAGTGCTTCCATAAGCTTCAAAGTGTTTTTGAGCCAAAGGTGCGACTAACAGTTCAGAATTAATATTTTATAAAATTAATTAGTACAATGTAAGGAAAGTTAAAATTAGGAGACTTTAATATTATTCCTTCTCTTCACATATGCTATATCTGTGATCATGCTCTCTTCATTACATTTCATAGCTTCTGAAGTCTCTAACCCAGTTTACTTTTGAACTATGTGATTAGCATCTAATGTGTAATTAGCTTTTCTAAGCACTCACAAGGCCGATCACTAAGAAACAAAAAGGAAAGAACAGGTCAAATTAATATAGAAGTGTGACAATTAATAGAGAACAAGTTCAAATTTTCATAACCATTCTTGAATCCTTTCTATAAAATAAATAATAGATAAAAGGAAGAAATCATCACACAGAAAAGAAACATGGCAGCAAAAACTGCGCTCTTCAATATTTATCTAAATCAATCAAAGTTAGTTTTCTAATGGCTCTGCAACAACTCAACTTCTGAGTTTAACTAGTTCTAAATGTGTGAAAAATGTATTTGATAATTAAAAAAAAATCAACATATTAATAATGAAATTCTTAGGTAATGTTTGGATTGATGGATTTAGATTTAAATTTTATATATAAAAGTTTTTATATTTAAAATCTATGATTAAAATTTTTAGTTTGAGCGGTATAAAAAAATTTCAAATTCAAAGATAATGAAAAAGAAAGATGAGAAATCTAAAAGAAAAGAAATCAAATAACTAGGATGGAGTATGATGTATTTGAAATTATAAAAAGAATTATAATAAAATATAAATTTGGATTTGAATCAAATAAATTTATATTGATAAATTTTTATATATTCAAATAGTAAATCCCATATATACGAGCGCAACACAAACGAATTATTCAAATTCACCAACAATAGCTGATGAAAGTTGCATTGTGATCAATAGAAGAGAAAAGAAGGAAAGAATATGATAACATAAAAGAAAAATTAATCTTTTAATTCTTCAACTTTTAACTCAGTCCCTCAACTATAACTCGCTGTGATTCAATTTCTCAACTATAACTCGCTGTAATTTAGTCCCTCAATTTTTAATTTACCTATAACTCAATCCTTATTTTTTAATTTTTTTAAAAATTTTTTATCAAATAAGAGGGATAAAAAAATGCTTATATATTATTTTAAAATACCCTCATTTTACTCATTGATGTGAGATATAAGCTAACATGAAAAAAAATTAACAAAAGTTAAGAGACTAATTTATAAATGATTCAAAAGTTAAGGGGATTGAGTCATAGGCGCGTCATAGTTAAGGTGTTGAGTCACAGCAAGTCATAATTGAGGGACTGAGTTATAAGTGACTTAAAAGTTGGAGGACTAAAGAATTAATTTTTCTTAACATAAACAAAAAATAGTAATATATTTGATAGATAAGGAGAAGCCACCCAAACTATAAGTATAGAAGGATGACACAGACTAATCAAAGACTTACTGAAACATTTAAGAGTTGTCCCCTAATTGGCTGAGTATTTTCGTCTAATGTTCATCTTCTCTTTATCAATGAAAATATAAGTTTGACCTAAACTTTATAATTTAAAAATTTAATTAGTTTTCTAAGCCATGTGAAATCGTTAAATAAATACCCAATTGTTAATTTTTTAAGACCATCACAGTGGTAGTTTTATGAAGTCAATAGCCAACCATTTTGGGAGAACATGTATTGCAACCTAGTTCCCGCCATTCTTGCAAGGTTTGGTAAGGGACTAATTAAAATTTCAAATAACATTAAGGGATCAGAATACTAATTTAATTTGAATTTGGTTGTCACTGCATGGTGTATCATTTTTCTTAACCTCAAAATTCCATAATCATTTCACAGAATCTCAAGGATGAGGAACCACATATTAGCTATAAAAACAGAAGATCTTCTGTAATCAATAGGGAAAAGGATTTTAAAAAAAGTTTAAATTTTTTTCAACTTATAAAAAAATTTAAAAAATTATTATTTGTAAAGTACTTCTAAAATGTTTTACTGAAATTATAAAAAATTTAAAATTCATTAACTCCGTTTAAAAAATTAATATGTTTTCAATTTTTCTCATAATAAATATATATATTCTGACAACATATTATTCAATTCTTAATATGAGACAAAATTTAATTTTTTTTAAATATGCTCCGGCGGATTATTAATATAAAAAAAGATGATTAAAAATCTTTCATATAAAAGATAGTGTTTTTGTCCTAAATCTGTCGAAAGATGATTGCGAGTTGGAACCCGCAGATCCACCACTGTTCATTAGAATGACGAATCAACCAATATAATAAAACACTATCAAATTGCAAGCTTTTCCGCTGACAAGAATTTAGGTTATGTTTGTTTACTAAATTAACGAAATAAAATGAATTGAAAAAATTGAGATAAAAATAAATTCAATTAATTTTTTTTATGGTAAATATAATAAAATTTATTAATATATATTATAAATATAAAAATCATTACACCTTTCAAAAATTTCGTGAAACATGATTCTTAACTTTATAGACTAAATTATCTCTCTTCCTTATAAATATGTTCACCTATTTTCTTTGATCATCTTAATTTTATCTTTATTTTTTTAATCCATTTCATTCTAGTAAGAAAACTTGACCTTAGCCAGTTCTAATTTTCTATGCCACGATACAGGTGATCATAACTGGAGGTGAAATGCTTATCAAGACACAAGTACTTGTGAGCCAATTTCTCAGAGGGAGTTTTGTCATTGTAAATATCCCTCCTGATGCGTCTCGAGATAATTTATCCAAATAATGATCTTCCCCGTCGTCTGCATCAAACATGTGAGACTAGGGTGCCATTTGGCTACTCAAAAGGATTGAAATGAAATTGATTGAAAAAATAAAAGTAAAAAAATAATATAATCAAAAGAGATATGTAAATCACATTCATAAAAAAGAGAGGTACTTAGTTTGTAGGTTTGGAAATAATGATTCATAAGAATTTTGAAGAATATAATAATTTTCACATTTATAATATATATTAATAAGTTTTATCATGCTTATTATGAATTTAAAAGATGATTTAGTTTATTTTTATTTTCTCCACTCTATTATATTTTTTTTCTAGTAAAAAACAGGACCTAAGAACAACAGGGTGCAGGATGGGAAAGGTGTAGGAGAGGATCTGCTTCCCAAATCTCCAAGAAGAAATTAACGTCGCATTGTGTGGAAAAGTAAGTAGGAAACTACTGATCTCATAATTTGATTTTAAAAAAGTAAAGATGCATAAGGAAAAAGAAAAAAAACATGTTAATCTATGCACTCAGCAAACGTTAAATAAATAACAAATCAAGTTAAACAAATCCTTGAGCTAACGACTAAAGACACTTACATATTTTTGCATGAGCTGGTACCCGCCAGCTTTTCTCATCATCTGTCATAAAGACAAATTTGTTTTATTAGGGATTATAAGGCCGAGGGATTATAATATTCAGCCATTGTTTTTCCTTAAAAGCCATAGCCAATGAACAGACTTTAAGCAAGACAGTTCCTCAGTCAAGATTCTCCTTCACAGCCTGCAACATTCATTTCCACTAGCTATCATGAAAGAGCAATCACCATTTTCCTCTTCCGTCACCCATGGATGGAGTTACGATGTCTCTCTCAATTTTAGAGGTGAAGACACTCGCTTTTATTTTGCTATAAATCTCTACAAATCTCTGCATCAAAAGGGTATCCATACCTTTAGAGACAATGAGGGGCTTAGAAGAGGAGAAGGGATTACTCCATCACTTGTTAAAGCAATCCAAGAGTCTACAGCCGCTATCACAATTTTCTCTGAAACTCATGCTTTGTCAACATTTTGTTTAGATGAGCTTGTTCAGATCCTTGAGCGTATACAGAGAAAAGGTCAGTTGGTTTTGCCAATTTTCTATGGTGTCGAACCACCGGAAGTGCGGCATCAGAGAGGAAATTACAAAGAAGCATTTGCTCAACATGAGAAAAGGTTCAACAATGATAAAAAGAAAGTGCAAAAATGGAAGCAGTCTCTACGAGATGCTGCTGATATTGCTGGTTTTCATTTCAAACCTGGGTATTTGAGTATTACCCTTCTTTTGCTTTGCAAACTTCAACTTTTTTATTTGATATCGATTGATACTATCATGTTACCATGCAACAAAGGCTAAGAAGCAATGAACACTAATACAAATTACTACCCAACCCAAAACCATCAGGTGATTCAAAAGTCTTGCATTTTGTCAGATATAAGTGTTCGTATTTAGTCAAACAGTAATCAGGCCTCGTTAGAATTTGCATTTCTTAGAGAGAAAAAGAGTATGTGCTTATTTTGGCAGACGTAGTTTTTTTTTTTCCCCCAATTTTTTGTTTAGTTGACTTTTAAGTTGTTATCATATGGTATATTAATATCAAAGAAACTGTAAGAAGTATGGCCACTTCAAAATCAGAAGAGTGCCAGTGTTATATTTGAAGGGTGCATTGTGTCCAAGTGTTTGATTTGTTGCATTTTGTGATTGGGACAGGCAAGAACATGAATGTGATTTAATTGAAAGGATTGTAAAAGAGGTTTCTAGGAGAATTAACCGCAAGCCTTTACACATTGCCAATTATCCAGTTGGACTTGAGTATATGGAGTGAGAAAAGTAAATTCTCTTCTAAATATTGGATCTAATGAAGGGGTCCAAATGGTAGGAGTTTGTGGTATGGGTGGAATAGGCAAAACAACAATTGCTCGAGCAGTATGAAATTTAATTAATGGTTCATTTGAAGCTTTTTGCTTTGTTGCTGATGTCAGCAAAAATTGAAAAGAGCATGGCCTAGCATATCTCCAAAAAATGCTTCTTTCTAAAGTGGTGGGTGAAGATTTCAACCTCATTGACATCAATCAAGGAATTCCTATAATGAAACAGAGGCTTCACAGAAAGAAAGCTCTTCTCGTTCTTGATTTTGATGAGCTAAAGCAATTGCAAGCCATTGCTGGATCACTCGATTGGTTTGATTCTGGAAGTAGGATCATTATAACTACAAGGGAAAAGCATTTACTAGCAAGACATGTTGTTGAAAGAATTTATGAAGTAGAGAGTTTAAATGAAACTGAAGCTCTTAAGCTACTGAAATGGAATGCTTTTCGAGAAAATAGAGTTGATACAAATTTTATAGACATTTTAAACATTGTAGTAAAATATGCTGGTGGTCTTCCATTGGCTTTGGAAGTTATAGGTTCCAACTTGTTCAATAGAGGAATAAATGATTGGAATTCTGGATTAGATAATTATAGAGGAATTCCCAACAGAGAGATCCAACGGGTACTCAAAATGAACTATGATGCTTTGGATGAATTTGAGAAGGAAATTTTTCTTGACATTGCCTGTTGCTTCATAGGAGACAACTTCGAATAAGTGCTCTACATGCTCGTGGGTTGTGCCCAGATTATGCTATTAAAGTGTCGATTGATAAATGCCTCATAAAGATTGGCCGTGGCCTTGTGACAATGCATGATTTGATTCAGAATATGGGTAAAGAAATTGTTAGACAATAATCACCAAATGAACTTGGCAAAAGCTCCAGGTTGTGGTTTCATGAAGACATTCTCCAAATTTTAGAAGGAGACAAGGTATGTTAAGATTCATCTACATTTGAATTTTTTTTAAAAAATTATTCTTTTATTTAAGGTATTCACCTGCATTTCTTTAAGTAATTGACATATGCTTGGTTTGAAAGGGAACTGAAGAGATTGAAGCCATAAGTCTAGACATGCCTAGAGACACAAATTAATTGGAGGGCAATGGCCTTCAAAAAGATGCAAAATCTTAATATACTTATTGTTCGAAGTGCAAGATTTTCCACAGGTCCCAAGCATCTCCCAAATAGTTTGAGAGTGCCAGACTGGAAGGGATATCCTGATCCTTCTTTTCCATATGATTTTTGTCCCAAGGAACTAGCTATCCTCAGGATGCCTGAAAGTCCCCTCAAACCGGATCCACCAGTCAAGGCATGTACAATGTTCTATTTGTCTAAAATAATGTTCTATTATGAAGCAGAAACACTTGAAGCTGATGTCAGACACACGTTAGGCAGACACTTTTAAATTACTTGTAGTAGATCCTTTAAATTTTGTTCATGTCAGGTGTCCTTGTCAGCTTTGTCCTATTTAATGCTTTATTCTGTCATTACTGATTATCAAGATTAGTTGATTTTTAATCTTGCTTTCCAGAGGTTCCAGTCTGCGAGTGTGATGGATTTTAGGAGTCGTAAATTTTTAACAGAACTGCCTGACTTATCTGGAGTCACAAATGTGAAGGAACTGAGTTCGGATTATTGCAAGAATTTGTTTAAAGTCCATGTTTCTATTGGATTTCTCGATAAACTTGAAAGATTAAGTGTTACTCATTGCTGCAACCTCAAGACCTTTCCAAGCATCTTATTAAGATCCCTTGAATTTTTTGAGCTCGCATGATGTCCAACCTCCAGAGATTCCCAGAAATATTGAAAGCAGTGGAAAATATAAGAGATGTTCGTTTGGATCATAGTGGCATAGAAGAATTGCCATTGTCATTCAGAAACCTGATTGGGTTACGAGACTTAGACCTGTCAAATTGCAAACATCTTCGAGAATTTAAGAGCAATCCCACCAAACCTGCAAGAATTGGAGGTCGTAGACAGCAAGAATTGGAGGTCGTAGACAAACACTTGAATTCAGAATCTTGTAGAATATTGTTGAGTCAGGTACTTCTCTCTTTATTACTCTGTTGAATGCCTTTATGAGATAATCTAATAATGACGGACTTTGAAAAGAAATTTGTGCCCACATCTATCGAATAAAGAAATATTCTTTAGAAGACACTACTTGAAAATAAAATGAAACACACAATTATATGATATCTAAATGTTCTGTTTTCTCCTACATTGATCTGCTGCTTTCCCCCCCTATCCTACTGATAGTATTAATTAGTATCATACTTATGATAATAACTCACATGAATTATAAACTTGCATGCCATTTTTGTACTTTAACGATGAGGATTCTATACTCTTTCAAGAAAAAAGATTTATTAAAGGTGGAAATCATTTTTGTATTGTTTAAATAATTGCACAAATAGATTAAAATACTATCTTATATACAAGTTGTATATCTAAAATGATCCATGTGAAACTGGACATGAAAGTCTCACTTTTCAATACTTTCTCACAGTTGAATAAAAAGACTCACTTTTATTTGTTTTATGGATCCCCTTTAAAAAGATTTGGCACAACTTCCCTGAAACCACTCTGGATCTAAGTTCATCTTATTGGTCTAGCTAGTTTCATTCAGGGAGAGAACCATGAATAGAGGAGCATTTTAAATTCCATGAACATAAATCCCCTGAAAATTGAAATAATTTCTCTTGAAGTAAGGAGAGCGATAAATATTGAATGGTGAACCCCACTTTTTCATGACCCACATATCAGATTCAGAAGTGGGGTCTGTCATTCAGTGTCTTTTTTCTAACGCTGAGATGGTCTGTTCTATATTTTCATTCACTATCACTAACCCTTCGTGTAAAAGGGAAGAAAATGGGAAGTAAGGAAAACTATGAGGAAAAACTCTTAAATTTTTGACAATTACTCCTAGTTTTCTCTTCTTATTTTCTTCCCAATTGTTCCTTCATCCAAACCAAGCCAATCTCCCCTGCTTTATATCTGGAGAGTTGCAACATGGCTAGAAACCCACCCCCCTCCCCTTTCCCTGTAACATTGTTCTCAGACACCAAGTTCGATCCTCGTAATGTTTTGCATCAGGCACTACGTGAGGTTGATGGATTGAGGTTTCTAATGTTGGAGGACAAAATGCCAGAATGGTTTGACAACTCTACCGATGGCCATTCAATTTGTTTTTGGATCCGAAACAAATTCCCAAACATGGCTGTATGTTTTGCTGAACACATGGGATATCATGGAGAGCTTGTTCCAAATGGTTCAGTCTAAGTCAATGGTAAGTAGTTGGAATATGAAATCGAAGACAGAATTTATGGAAGGATTACATCACAGCATATCTTTTTGTTTGATTTGCAAAACCTTAGTCATGAAGATAAACTCAAGGGGGCAGTTTTAGAGCATGGATGGAAAAAGATACAGAACTGACGTACCATGCGTCACCGAAAAAATCAAACTTGGGCAAAGACCAAGAGAATATATGTATACAAGCGGAACTCTAGAATGGAAGATATCTGGTTCATAAATCCTAACGAGGATATCTCTCCATCAACTTTTGAACTAGTGTCTTGGTCAACTAAATAATTTGTCCGATTTTCAATACCTGACACTTGCCTCGCATACAAGAATTTTATATTGAATTTTATGAAAATTTCCTCAATGGCTCAAATTTCAAAGGCGATTGGTGGTCCAAAGGGCTTTCCATGAGAGGACTGAAGACACAGACCATGAGAGAGAAGAAAAATGCTCTCTCTCTCTCTACACACACACACACACACATTCTGCAGCGTCAAAACGGTGAGAACCATTGCTGGAAACTCATTCTTACTATAGTGCCCAGATCTACAAATCTATCTTCAATTTGTGTTTGTGTTATTGTTATATTCATTTAGTTAATAATCAGATCAGATGTGATCATATATCAAAATTGATATTTCAGGACACTTCTGTATGGTTGTCAATAAACTTGTGATATCTTACTGAACACATACGTCAATAAAAAATGCCATATACATACTGTAGCAGAGCTTTTTTTATAGTGTTCCTAGGAGAGAAAATTCAATAAAGCCATAAATTGCCATAGATATATAAAATCATGCATCACTTTAGCACGAGAAATTCTGATGCTCTTATGAGGGAAAATACCAGAGATATATGCCAACCACAGATTTTCCAAGCAACAACCCAGCACTTAAGTTATTTTGGAGCCCAAAAGTATTCTATCCTCCTAGGTTAAAATAAAGTGCGGAACGTACACTAACCAAAGAGTTGAGAAATGAAAGGGGGATGAGATATTAGGGCTGAGAGATCAATTCTTCATTGAAGACCATGATTATCGTCCACAGTGTATCAAGCTACCAGCACCAAGGAACAAACCAAATACAGCTGCACTTCCCAGAGTAGTCTGCCCAATATGTCTAATCTTTAGTAGGCCAGGAACCTGCATAGTTTCAAGATCATATACATATCTAAGACACTTCAAAAGTAAAATACACATTTCAGCGGAGCACCACTGCTAAACTGATGGCCAAACAGAGGTTTAGAATTGCTGCCTGGACAAGCAGTGAAATAAATGGCTCCCACAGGCTAATTATAGTACAGCACCACATTCCACTCAGCAGTTAACACGGCCCCACTTTAAAGCAATATATGGAACTGGTACTGCCCTCCTATCCATTTACAAATTACCATATTAAGGTAAAATGACATCAGTAGTAAACGCAACTGCATTAATAACATTAACACACCTTATGACCAACATATCCAGCACCTCATCTCAGCAGAATAGTCTTTAAAATTTATTGATTGAAACCTATTCTTGGATCTACAGGCATGAGGATTAAAATCTCTATCATAATTTTATAGATGTCCAAAGATTTCTTGACAAAATCATAGATACACCATACAAAACAAACACTAGATGCTACAGACTCTAGACCAGGCCACAATAGTGCACTATAAAAGAATGATTAAAACCCTCAAGCAGTAGGGCTTGAAAAGTAAAAGGTGTATCTTTTTCCCCCCTTTGGAGGGGAGGGTGTTATAACAGGCTTCTGGCTATGCGAAATTATTAATATGCAAATTCTCCAGAATCTTCACCCTGATAATTGGTGACATTGCTTTCCTCGTGATAGTCAAGAAAGTTACATCTTTATTGGTTACATCAAAAGGATTTGAACTCTATATCTCTATTCACACCTTACCTCATCCTTACTGTCTCAAGGTCCAGTCTTTGCGAAGTCAACAGTACAAGCATACAGTAGCCCTAGGTTTAATAGAAATTAGGGCAAATTTGTAGGGTGATGGTTAGGATTTACTCCCTCCAATCCTTGTTGTAAGACATTTTTAAACTGTTTCACGCAACTTAAGAAAAATTAGTTTTTTTTCTTGACATCATAAAAATATGTGATGTACTTTCTTTTTTACCCTTGATTTTTAATAATGATACATCTACATTAAATAACTTTACATTAATCAAGAAAGGTAAAATTGAAAAAAGTAGTTTAACTATTACAAGGTGTCCTACATCTTGGATCAAAAATTATTTCTAGGTGACTTACAAATAGGATTGGAGGGACTATGAAAATAGGATTTTTTTTTTTTTTTTGGGAAGCCACCTACTTGAGTAAACAGGTATGAATAAGGAATTCAATAGGAAGAAATCAAAGTAGATAGGTAAAAGGCCGGGCTTCAGACCAATGGTACTTGGGTATCATAGCCGCTTTGCCTACAACATATTGTGTCTTAAATTCCTCTAACGACTTTGCTAAATTACAAATGGTCAGGTACAACATAAGATGCTGTAGTGTATTTGCAATTACATAAGTGACAGAAATAGTAGTTGTGAAGTTAATTAGGGGAATAATGCCTTCTGTCATGTAAAGTAATGTTAAAAATGTGTGCATAAAATGAAGCATCAAAATTAGAAAATAAATAAATAAATAAATTTTTCATAAGAGGCAGGGACAATTAACATAGAGGAGGGTTATGTCCCAGGTGGCAGACCATGAACTCAAACCAAGGCCCCCCTATCAACACAAGCAGTTCAAAACTTCATATATTTGAGTTTGTTCCGCAATACCTTGCAGGCCATCTAATTATGATTTAATATGGAATTGAGTGAAAAGAAACTCCTGTCCCCGATTACTTGTGCACCAAACATCCAGTCTGTATTTAATCTTTTGCCTTAGGCCTCAGCAGAAATATACATATATTGACTGAAGCATAAATATATTCTTGAATTGCACTTTTTGAAGTTCAAAAACACGTAATAAGATCCTTATTCTACTTTCGCTATGTCAGTAGATACTTGGCAGCAATTGACTATACTAAAACCTGATTTTTCAATGATTTTTCAATGATTTTGCTTTTGAAATCAAAATCACCAAATCATATTCTCCGGTATGTCAAACATAACAAGCCTACTTTTTCTCAGATTATGCTTTCACTATCGTTCATAGTATTATTGCATTCGAACAAGAAAAAGAATAAGCCAAATGGATACTAGCATTACCTGCATACAAATGAGATGCACAGTCACAGAACACATAACAAACTATAATTGCCATTAACACTTCAAATAAACCAATAATGATTGAATAAAAATACAGCAACAACAAATATGAATAAATATTTACCTTATACCTAACGGCCTCATATGTTCCATAGACGGCACCTACATACACATAATTCAACAATTACACTAGGTAGGAAAGAAGGAAAGAAAGAAAGAACTACCATCTAACAACAAAGATAGTTTATTACAGAGCAAAAAAAAAAAAAAAAACTTAAGCACCACTTATTATTTATGATTATTAATGTAACCTAATAACCACAAATTTGGCTTCGATAACAGGACGAAATAAGAAAGCCGACTCTTTTTCCTCAGGATACTCAAAACAACCAAACAAGGCTCAATGGCCTTCCAAGAAGAGAAACGTCTAAAACTAATTAGGAAGAATCTCACCGACGGCGCCGCCGATAGCACCGCCAAGGGCGGCTCCGGTAGTGACGCGAGCGAGGCAGCTATCTCTAGCCATCTGATGGATGATCTGTTGCCTGAATGCTTTTGCGTCAGGGTGAGATTTCCCGGACTTTTATGCGGCATACTAAACGACATGTCGCGTAAAGCATGGCAGCCCATAGGTTGTGACTTGCCTTAGAATCCGTTGGCCAAAGTAAAATAAAAAGATTCAGCTAAAGTGAATTAGGTTGGCCAAAAGAAGTCTAAATCTAAAGTGAATTATATTGTTGGTACTTGGTAGGCGGCGCATGAGATTTTAATAGATTTTTTTTTTTGCCCGAGATTTTAATAGGTTTTGCATTTTATATAGATTAAAGATTAATTATATATATAAGATTCAATAATCCTATTCTTTGTATTCAGAATACAAATATTGTTTTCATCTTCAAAATATTTTTATTTTATTTATTTTTAAAATATATATCACAGAAGTCAGTGTCAAATATTATATGTGAATATATAACATCTAAATTTCATATCTCCAATAAGAGTCTCATTAGTAAAAATATTGCTGCTCATATCCTATAAAAAGAGTTTGAATATAACTGCTATGATATGAGAACTTGTTGAAGTTAGTAATATAAAGATGCTATTAATTTTAAGAGTCGTAGATTTTTATACACGTATATGATAAAAAAAAAAACATATTCAATCTCTCTAATTGAGGTTGAAAATAGGCTAGGTTGAGTTAAGTTTTGATCAACTAGGCCTGACTCTGTGTGATAAATTTGAGGCCTGAGCTTGGCTTAAAACCTGTATAAAACTTTTCTTATAACTTAAGCCTGAGTTTACTTAAAGCTTGACCTGGACTAAAAATCTATTTAAAAGCTTACTTAAAAATAAGTTTTTTAAATAAGCTCGCATTTCATTTTTAAATATCTCAAATATACTTTAAGACTATTAACATAAATATATAACATGATTTATCAATTACAATATATAATAATTAAAAGAACTTACCCACTATAATACAATACAATAATAAAGTAATAACAATAAAATCAATATATAAGTCCAATATAATTAAAAACATAACTAAAATTAAAAAAAATAGATTGATTAAAAATCAAATGATGAGACTGATATATGTGTGATATATTACATAATATATATATATATATATTTTATTTTATTTATTTATTTATGTAAATAGGTCGGCTTATTAGATTCGTAAGCTAGACCTTAAAAAATTAGGCCTGGCCTATTTAATTAAATAGGCCTAATTAAATGCCTAAATCTGACTTAATCTATTTAATAAATAGGCTAGATTAGGCCTGAAATAGGCCAAAATGTAAGCCCCTGATAGAGGTCTGGCTTATTTCCACCCTTATCTCTGACATACAAATATATATATATATATATATATATAGTAGTGAGCAAAATGAAAAAAAAACCAAAAAATTGAATCAAATAAAATTGAATTCAGACAATTTGATTTGGCCAATTTGATTATATGCAATTTGATTTGATTTTCTTAAAATTTTGATTGATTGTTTCAATTCAGTCTACAAATTCTAAAGCCAGATAGATTAAACTGAATAAATTATTTATATAATTCTTTACCTACTTATACATGATTTATTAGTTTACACGTGTGGTTTGTTTTTTTTATTTTTATAATTAAATAATAAATAACTTACCTCTTATATTTCGTTTCCTATTTGTGGTGATTTTTGTTGTTTTATATATGTCCTTCCTTTGCATAATTTCATTCTCATTTTAAAAGCTCATTTTTATATATGCGTGTATAGTGGGCTTGGAATGGGGTCCACCTCCCCACCCTAATGATCATCAAGCTCTAAATTTAAAGTTTTTATTTTTATTTAGTAAAATAGAGTTTATAAAAATGATATTATATGTTTTAATAAATATGCTTTATCATTAACTTGAACAATGCGAATTTAATCTAAATAATCCATTTTAATATTAATTTTTATAATTTTTAGAAATTAACTGTTTAAATGTATTCTTGACAATCCATACTTGACATTAATTTTTTAATTTTTATAAATTTTTATTTTGATAATTATAATATTAAAAAAATAATCTCTTGATTATTATTTTCAAAAAATATTTTTAAAAAGATTATAAATTAAAATTTTTAAATCTAAAGTTTTCAAAGTAAATCTTGATAATTAGTTTATAAAAATTATAAAATTCTAATATTTAATTTAGACTATACAAATTAAACCTAGATTGCCCAAACTAGTGATAAAACAAATTTATTAAATTTTTTATAAATTTTAGTTTTAAAATAAATATAAAATAAAAACTTTAAATCTTGACTATCAATATTTACTCATTACCCTTGATGAGTACCGTGGAAGATGAGTTCCTTGAAATGTCTATTACACTCATTATAAGGCCTTTATCACATTTGTTTTTTAAAAAAAAATATGATGGACCAAAAAATAGGTAGAACATTTGTCCAAGTAACCCATTGTAAAACTAAATAATTGAATTAATTAACAAATTTGAACCATCAAATTTCAGTTTGATCAACAGATTTAGTTCAATTCGGTCCAAATAATTAGTATGTTATTTAGTCAATTGACTTTGTGCATTTTGGGACCAAACTGACTAACGCTCACCCGTATATATAGAGATGAGTGAAAAATGCATGAGCAAGCATGTGTAAAACATAATTTTATGAGAGATTAAACAAATAAATCACCACAACCTTAATTAATAAAAAAAATAATCAGATTCTCAAAGTCATCACATTATGCCTCAAATGAGTAAGTGAACAACGTTGGATTTTTAACTAGTATGGTGGTGCCCTTTACTTTAGTAATTGAGCAGACCTTTAAAGAGGAAAAGCCGAAGAAAAGGATCATAATTTGGTTTGTATTATAAATCATATTTTAAAAGGTTTTCATGATATTGAATATAAATTATATTGCAAAATGTTTGACATTAAATTTTTTTCTTCTTACAAATGCCCTTATACCGGAAATCGTTTTTTATAAAAAAAAATTCTGACAAATCTTTAGAGCATCATGTTTTTTAATAAAAAGATCAATTATATAAACAACAAACAAGGAAAAAGAAACTCATAAAGTTAAAGTTATACAGGGAAAATTAAAAGAAATTAAAAGGTGTCTCAATTGAATGGAGTCACACTTCAAAAACTGATAACTTAAAAGAACATATTTAAAAGATACTTAATATTTTGGACTACCAGACATTGATTATTGCGAGAGAAAAGATGGCTACCGTTAAACTTCATAACTAGCTTTCCCAAGTTATCGCTTCATCCACAAGTTACACATCCAATAAAGCAAGCCTTGGATGCAGACAACCATAAAGAAATCCGATGGAATAGAGGGTGGATGCATGAGCAGAAGGCGTTGAAGGTTTTCACTAGTGAGAGATACTTCTACAAAACAAAAAGTTTTTTTTTTCCTTCTCTAAAATTTGTGGAGTTGGATCTTCCATGTGGATGGATGAACTTGAGATTCCAATGATTGTTGAACAAAACCCTCAACAATGGAAATATGCAAATCTCTAGGAGAAACAAATTATTGATTGAAGTTCTAGTTTTATGCAATTGTCAGGAATGTTAGCTCTTCTTTAATTTTTTGAATGAGTTGCTCAATTGAAATACCTTTTTCATTGCGGAAAAGTAGATTTCTCCTGTGCCAAATTTTATGGATTAGGATAAAAATTCCTTTAAGCATATTTGTTTCTTGGTTTTGGCATAAAACCTTCAAAACTTGCAGGATCCAAGTGATGAGACCAAGCTTAGAGATGTTAGTAGAACGAATAAAGAAAGCACCAAACCAATAAGCTTTAGAGAAATGGCAGTTATAGAAAACATGATCATTAGTTTTCTATGCATCACAACAAAAATCACAAAGATTAGAACAATGAAAAAATTACATTTAGGTCCCACAAAAAAAAGTTTATTATTCAAAGGTTTCATGAATTTTACAAAATACTCCTAAGTTTTAAATCCTATAATGGCTGTTGTCCAATTGTCAATGTTTTTTGTTAAATTGTCAATATACAGGATTTGAGATTTAAGAATATTTTATAAAATTCATGGGACTTCTCGGTAATAAACGTCCTTCTATGGGATTTGAATGTAATTTGTCTTAGAACAATTTAGATGATGATCCCTAAGAATATCACCTATTGGAATTGCATTTCGAATCAACTTTCATATGAAGAGAAAAGTCTTTGTGAGGTAGTTGTAGTTTCCAAAAAAAGCCCCAAACATTTTCATTGGTGTACCCATTAGATGTACTAGTAGAAAGCTTTAAAAGATCTTCTTTCATTGTGTATTGTCCTTTACCCTAGATAACTTTATCTTTAGGATCAGTGAAAGAAATAGAAGTGTTAAGTATGGACTTAGCAACATCCTCATCATATAATTTATTAACAATAGAAACATTCCAAGGAGCAATTATCTAAGGATTGGGACTTTTGATAAGGAGATCTGGTACTTTAGTTACATTGAGTTCTATTAAAAGGACTGTCTAAACATGTTTTCACTAGTAATCATGAATCAGGAAGATAGAGATACCTTTACCTATTTATTAGTGTAAGTTTTTCTTTACAACATTAGTTGTCTTGAAAATTCTTTTCCAATACCAAGATGCATTATAAGGTAACTTGAGAAATGTGTCCAATTTATCAATATATTTGAGTTTGTGAGTGTCACCAAGAAGGGAGTGCTCCTTAGCTGCCATTACTTGCCAAATTTGTTTGGCTAGAAGACAAGCATTCATCAAACTAATCTTTCTCAAACCAAACTCTCCAGATTTGATAGGGATAAAAAGAATATCCCTCTTGGAAAGATGAATGTTCCTCTTTTATTCATTGTAACCCAAAAAAAAATTAGTTAATTTAAAGTCAATCAAATTAAAAAAAATTTCGTGGGAGCTTTATACAAGAAAGGAAGTAGATGTTAGAAGCAAATATGACAAATTTAATCAAAGCAAACCTTGATGCATGATATAAAAGCTTGGCCTTCCAAGAGGGTGGAGGCTATCCTTTTATCAATGGACATTTAGTACTTGATCAAAAAATTTTTTTATCCTTTTTTGCCTCAATCCATATGCCCAAGTATTTTTCAAATGATTTAGAAATCTAAATGCCAAGAGTAGAGGATATCTCTAGTTGTAACTCATGAGGGACATTGGAACTAAGAATTAAGGATGACTTCAATAAATTGACTTCTTGTCCAACACATGAACAGAAGGAGCCAATTGCTTTTTGAATAGAATGTAAACCATCTCTTGTGTGTTCAAAAAAAATTGTTGAATCATCAACATAAAGGAGATGTGATATAAAATAAGAGTTCTAACAAATTTTAACATCATGAAAAGATCCTTGTTGCTCCTTATGAATAAGAAGACATGATAATATGTTGGTAGCTAGAATGAAGATGTAGGAGAAAGGAAATCTGCTTGTCCGATGCCACTTGATGGAAAAATTGGTTTGGTGGTAGTACCATTAAAGAAAATGTGGTATTCAACAGAAAATACTCATTGAAGGATTAAGCTAATCCATTTAGAAGGGAAGTTCATTCTCAATAAGACAGCTTTCAAAAATGACTTGACAATTTATCAAAATCTTTTAAGAAGTCAAGCTTGAGTGGACCCAATTTATTTCTTTTACCTTTGGCAAAGCGAATTTGATGAACCAAATTAGCAACCACTAAAATACTATCATAGATTAGTCTGTTAGGCCAAAAAAAAAAAACCAGATCTACACACCTAAAAACCAAAAAAAAAAAAAAAACTTACAATACGCCTAAGAACCAAACCTACACTCACATAAAAAATTGGGTTCCATTGGAAGTGGAAGAGAAACACATCGAATGAGCCAAATCTTAAGTTCCTCCCCTTATTTTCACTTTCACGGCCCAAGTCCTTGCATATCAAATGGATTAATGTTGTTATTCCAATTTACAATTGAAAAAATGGTCAGATTATATGGGTAAGCTTGAATAGATTATTATTAGAGTCGGGTCGAGTTTAAAAAAATGATTAATTTTTTTTGTTACTTAGATTAAATAACTTGTGAACCAAATGTGCTAATAATAATAAATTAAGGTAGATGGCTTGTTTAACCCCTATTATTTATGAAAATTTTTAAAAATAATTGAAAAATAAAAAAGAGAGTTTTTGACCACAACTCTATAAAACATGTATATTTGAAATGAATCATGATATAATGAACCAATCTCATACATCTATTACGTGGATGGCAAAGAAGACACTTTTAATCCTTGATTTCCGTATTTTCCCTTAGACAGGGAAAAACCAAAAGAAAAAAATTTATGCAAAGGAGGGTGACTACTTTTTCCTTCTAATTTTCTGAGTTTCTCCAATATTTTCCTTCCATTTCAAACTACGTAAATAGGGAGAAAAAGAGATAACAATACTGGTACATCCTTTCCTATCAAATATCAATCTCCCCTCTTTCTCCTTTTCTCCCTCCATTTTACTTTATTTCAATAAATTTTATTCAAAATAAAATCAACTTAAATTATCTTCTTCTTCTTCTTTTTTAATATAAAGAGTAGAATCTGATTTTCTTATTTGAATTATCAAGGAGTGAGGACAAATAACATACGCTCTCTCTGTTTTTTTTTTTTTTTTACCAGCAAATGACATACCCTCTCAAGGAGTTTCTTACATGTGAAGGAATGACATTCATTGGCTTCTTTTTCTAACGAAAAAATACACCCGCGAACTTTGACCTTGGAATGGTGGAAAAGCCCAAATTGTTCATCAATCAATAATCAATAAATTGACTGAAACATTGAAATTTGATTTAAAAAAATAGGAAAAGAAATTTGAAAGGCACTTAAATTAACCGGTGAAGCAGTAAATATTAATTAAATAGTCAATTCAATCCCCTGATTGAAACTTTTTGTATTTATTTGAAAAAGCACTGCATATTCTTTTTAAGGTAAATTACGTCCACTATAGATATACCTGCAGTTTTAATCCGCTGGCGTCAGAAATTGGAATTAGATTCTTTCCGTGTTCTTCACCAATCTCTGTGGATGCGGCTCGAGGATAACATCCTCAGGCCTCATATTTTGTTCCTTAATTAACTCAATTTCGTAGGTACTGCAGGCTCGAGGTTCTGCAATGGCCGATTCCTTCTCCGACGACAAGCTTTGCGGCTTCCTACTTGCGGTTCTCGCTGTGACTCCCTCGCAGCCCGACCCGTGTTCCAGTTTAGCCTTCCAAGAGCGCTGCGACATCTTCGCGGACTGTTCTAATGCCGCCGGATTTAGGTCCGGCAACGGCGTCGTTTTGATTCCGGTGGATTCGGCTGCGAAGCTGAATGAAGGCGGGAACGCGTCTTCTTCTGATTCAGCGCAGTGCAAAGTGGTGGGGAGGGAATCTACGATTGACTTCGGCTGCATTAGTTATAGTACGCCTCGGGGTTCGCGAAAGGGCAATGTAAGAAGAAAAAATTGGCTGGTTTCAGGGAGTGGTAGCTTGAGGAGGAAGAGGATGACGAAGATTGGGATGGTGAATGGGAGTGTTAGCGTGATTCACCAGCTCCACGCTTTGGTTAGCAAAAAGTGCTTGAAGATTGATGCTCGAGTGGTTTTGGTTGAGCTTGGAGACTGTGGGGAGGCTAGAGCTGTGGTATTGGTCGATGTGTATCTCCCAATTGCATTGTGGAGTGGCTGGCAGTTTCCAAAATACGGGTCCACTGCTGGTGCTCTTTTTAGGCATTTGAGGTTTGCCTTTACCATTTAAATCTCTACGTAATCCAAAAGAGGAATTCCTTTCCTATAGTGATTTAGATTTAGATGCGGAGCTTGCAATTGGATGTGGTTCTACCTTTGATGCTAGGTAGTGGAGTCAGAATAATGTGTGCTGAGTTCAATAGTATACTGGCAATGATACGTCCGTGTTTGGAGAAAATAGGTTTAGAAGTTATGTCAAAGTAGTAATGTAATATATAAAGTTATGGTCATGTTTGGTGTATATTTAAATATTAATAGTCAATTGCCCATTTCCCATGATTCACTGTGTTTCGTTACTACTTTCTTCAGCCTTGTTTGGCCGTCTTGTTGAGGGAAAGAAAACCCTTTTTCGTTTTTCTCTCGAATAACTCAAACTTTCAAATGGCTGCAAAATATCTTCTACTTAGAGACAGAATCAGGGAATTGGTTCAGACTTCAGGGGAAGAATCATTAATTTTTACACAAAATATTCGTGAACAAAAATTTACGGACATTGCCTCAAACATTGATCTTCTTTGTTACAGTTTTTTTGCATGAGTGGTTTTGCGAAATGTGGTTCCAGAAAAGGATAAATTTGACAACATGACCTAGCAGTCTTAAAGGGTTATGTGATTAAAATTCTAATGGCACAGCAATTTATAAAATGCTGTGCTGTTTTAGTCACTTCTGTTTATGGGTCAGAGGCCAATGATTCCTTGAACTCTAGAGGGTTATGTTGATTGGTTGGTCGATAAGGTAACACACTGGATTTGGTATAAAATAAATCTTAAGTTTCCTATTCATTGGTCTTGGATATTTTTTTTGCTAAAATGATTCGATAAACTTTTTTGGTGTGATAGATTTCTTCTGGTGATAAAATATGTTCATGTGTACTGTGTTTGCTGAGCATCTGCAAACTTGTTTATCTGTCTTGTTATGATTGTGGTTTATAAAGTTTGAGATTTTCATATTCTTTTGAGACTTTAGTTAATGTTCTGCTGCATTACTGTTTCTGATGACCAATGCACAAAAACTCAACATTAATCGTATCCTGTATTGTAGTGTTGTTAAAATGGTCATGTGCGGGTTTTAGGGTTCCTGCAGATGGATGATTTGATTGTTGCATTGACATGATGCTACTATCTGTAATTATGAAAGTTTTAATATATTTACGCAGTATAACTTTGACATACATGTGAAAATTGTGTAGTTTGTGTTTATATCAGCTTGTTGACTACATACATAAATCTCTGAAGGGACGTAAAAATATTGAAATAAGAAATGAAATATATGTGTGATACATCCATAGAATCTGAATTCTTAGTGGAGTTCCAATTTTAACTTAACTAATCATTTTATCAAAATGAAAGCCATCTCCAGAATGGTCATATGTTGTTCTGACTAGTCCATATCAGTAAATAGGGCCTTGTAATATAAAGCAACTTGTTAACTCCCTCTCCCCTTTTCTTATTGTTCTGTTCAACTGATAAACCTGACTGCCTTAGTTTGCTGACACAAATGCTTTCAACAGGTGTGACTGGGATGAGAGAAGATCAATTCTTTCTTGTTCAGACAATATTAGGAAGATTCAGGGGGCCAGTAAGAGCATTTGGAACCTTAGTGACTGTCATGTATTTGGGTGCAAACTCCACTACCATGCAAGAGATTCTTCAAAGAATAGTCTATTTGAACTCCATGAAATTTTTAAGAGCATGCCTGGTGTAGGAAAAGACCGGAAGCCCGCTAATTCCAGGATAGTACCATTGAATGACTCTTGGAGATCTGGAATTTGGGAGTTATCTGATGACATTTTAACAAAAATTCTAGCTCCCCTAGACCCAATGGACATTGCTAGGGTTTCAGCAACTTGTCGCCATTTGAGATCCTTGGCTGCTTTAATAATGCCTTGTACAAAGTTAAAATTGTTTCCTCACCAGCAGACAGCTGTTGAGTGGATGTTGCATCGGGAGCGAAATGCTGAACGCTTGGCACATCCTTTGTTTGTTTCTTTTTCAACAGAGGATGGCTTTATTTTCCATGTAAATACTGTATCTGGTGAAATAGTCACTGGGGAAGCTCCCTCCATTAAAGATTTTTGTGGCGGAATGTTCTGTGATGAGCCTGGTTTGGGTAAGACTGTAACTACTCTTTCTCTTGTATTGAAGACACAAGGTTTGTTGGCAGATCCACCGGATGGAGCGAAGGTGGTTTGGTGTCACCATAATGGTAATCTTAAATGTGGTTATTATGATGTTGTTGGTAGTTACATAATTGACAGTAGTAATTTGGGGAAGAGGGACATATGCCAGGATGCTAGGAATAATGAGCACCATGATCACTCCTCCAAACGAGCTAGATTGAAGGTTCTTGTTGAGAGAACTAGTGGACTTAATAAATGTTCTTGGGAAGAAAAGAAATCACCTGTGGGCGAATACTCTGAGCATCTAATGGCTGCAAGTCGATGCTCTTGGGGTGTGAGTTGCATTAAGAAAAATCTCTGTGCCACTTTTGATGAGGAAGCTGGGCATTCCCAAGAAAGAAAAGATAGTTTAAACTCTTTGAAACTAGAACATGCAGCAAATGCTGAAACACATGAATTCGAAAATAAGCCAGTTGATACTTCATATGGAAATGGAAAGGGCAGGGGACCTGAGAAGCCTACAGTGGATTCTTCTGAATGCAATGACACTTGGATTCAGTGTGATGCTTGCCAGAAATGGCGAAAGCTTGCAGATGCCAGTATGGCTAATACTAATGCAGCGTGGTTTTGTAGTATGAACACTGATCCTCTGTATCAGAGTTGTGGCATCCCAGAACAACCCTGTCATAATAGCTATGAAATAACTTATTTACCAGGATTTCATGTGAAAGGTAGTGCAGCGGGTGAGAAGAAGAATGTTTCATTTTTCACTGGTGTACTTAAGGAGCATTACACAATGATAAATTCTGAGACAAAGAAAGCCCTGACTTGGTTGGCCAGACTTCCTCCTGACAAGCTTTCTGAAATGGAAATAAATGGCATAAGGGGTCCTGTTTTAAGCACCTGCACTGTGTCTAGCGGATATCTTAATCCATACCACAAGATATTTCAAGCATTCGGTCTCATTAAGAGATTAGAGAAAGGTGTAAACAAGTGGTACTACCCTCGAAATCTAAATAACTTGGCTTTTGATGTAACTGCCCTTGGCATGGCTCTGCGTGAGCCGTTAGATTCATTTAGGCTATACTTGTCAAGAGCAACCCTTATAGTTGTTCCTGCTAACTTGGTTGATCACTGGAAAACTCAAATTGAAAAGCATGTCAAACATAGTCAACTGCGAGTTTTTGTTTGGAATGATACTTGGAGATGGAAGCCATCTGTGCATAGTCTGGCATGGGATTATGATGTTGTCATTACTACATTTAGTCGACTGAGTGCAGAGTGGAGCCCACGTAAGAGAAGTGTTCTGATGCAAGTCCATTGGCTTAGGGTCATATTAGATGAAGGGCACACTCTTGGCTCAAGCCTAAACTTAACAAACAAGTTGCAAATGGCTATTTCTTTGACAGCTTCAAATCGTTGGATACTAACAGGAACACCAACACCTAACACTCCTAAAAGTCAACTATCACATTTACAGCCATTGCTAAGATTCCTTCATGAAGAAGCTTATGGGCTGAATCCAAAGGCATGGGAGGTTGGCATCCTTAAGCCATTTGAGGCAGAGATGGAAGAAGGAAGGTTTCGTCTGTTGCATCTACTTCGTAACTGCATGATTAGTGCAAGGAAGATAGACTTACATAATATTCCCCCATGTATCAAGAAAGCTGTTTTTCTGGATTTTACTGAGGAGCATGCCAGAAGTTATAATGAATTGGTATTAACAGTTCGTCGTAATATATTAATGGCTGATTGGAATGACCCTTCACACATTGAGAGTCTACTGAATCCAAAACAATGGAAATTTAGGAGTGCAACTATAAAAAATGTTAGGCTGTCGTGCTGTGTAGCCGGACATATTAAAGTTACACATGCTGGTGAAGATATTCAGGAAACAATGGATATGTTAGTAGAAAGTGGTGTGGATCCTGATTCAGCTGAGTATTCCTCCATAAGATATAATCTGCTTTGTGGTGGCCAGTGTGTCAGGTAATGTGACTTTTGATGTTCAATGTGCTTTGATTCTATTTAGTCATATTGAGCTGCAAATTAATTGTTCTGCTGTTTTTTTTTTTTTTTTTTGAGTATAGGTGCAAGGAATGGTGCCGTCTTCCCTTCATTACACCATGTCGGCATCTGTTGTGCCTTGACTGTGTCTCTTTAGACAGTATGAAGTGTACTTATCCTGGATGTAATAAATTATATGAGATGCAGCATCCTGATACACTAGCCCGCCCTGAAAATCCTAGCCCAAAGTGGCCTGTGCCCAAAGATCTTATCGAGCTACAACCTTCATATAAACAGGCAAGGTTTTTATTGAAGTAAAAAAATCTAGTCGAATTGCTATGATTTTTTTTTTTTTTTGGCTCTGACAATCTTCCTAAGTCTGCTCTGTTGTGAGCACAGGATGATTGGGATCCTGATTGGCAATCGACATCTAGTAGCAAAGTGTCCTATCTTATCCAGAGATTGAAAGCTTTGCAAGAATCCAATAAGGAGAAGGGATGCTATAATAGCAATGATCAGGTTCTTGCTGAGAGCAGTCGCCCTCTGCTGAGGGGAGATGTGAAATCATCATTCCAGCAATGCCCTCTAAGCACTGAGCCCAATAATAGGCCTGAGAAAGTTCTTATATTTTCTCAATTTCTTGAGCATATTCATGTCATTGAACAGCAAGTTATCTACCTGTGCTAGATTCTGGGTTTGAAATTTTTGTGAATTCATTTCAAAATGATCATATTATTAACTTGCATTTCTCTGTGTCCAGTTGGCTATTGCTGATATTAAATATTCTGGGATGTATAGTCCAATGCCTTTAAGCAACAAGGTGCGATGTTGAAAATCTCATCTACTGTCACTGGGTAGTATTTATTTTTGGTTATGACCTTCGGGTAGTTTCCTTTTTTCTTTTCCAGAAGAAGTCACTTGCCACATTCCAGCATGATCGCAGTTGTATGGCACTTGTGATGGATGGAAGTGCTGCATTGGGTCTTGACTTGAGTTTTGTTACACACGTGTTTTTAATGGAACCAATCTGGGATAGAAGGTAATACATTTAATCCATGCACAATTATGGATCACAAATAAGGAATTTTGTTGTATGATGCTGTGGTGAAAATTGAGTTTGATAATTCAGGAATTTTTATCCTTATTATTGTTGTTGTTAATGTTATTTTTTTTTTATGGGTAACTATCAAATATTACTCTTAGATGTCTTATGAAAATTCCCACAATCAAAATCAAGTTATTTTTCTTTGGGAGCATTGTTGTTGAAATGCGTGCGTGAGTGTTCTCCTACACTCAATTTATTGTCATCGTTCTGCTACAAATCAAATCATCAGATTAATCCAATTTAATCATCCTGTAATAAGTTGTGGTTAAAATATTTCCAGCATGGAGGAACAAGTAATTAGTCGTGCTCACCGTATGGGTGCTTGTCGTCCCATTCATGTGGAAACCTTAGCAATGCGTGGTACAATTGAAGAGCAAATGCTAGAATTTTTACAGGTGAAACTCTGACATGAGCTACAACTTTTCCTAAATTATGACTTTGCCAATTCCCACGGGATGAATGATGACCTGTTCATAGAATGACTAATCTGTTATTTTGGTTACTTTTTCATTTACTTTTTTGGACTGCAAAGGTTTTCCCACCCTGTCCCTACTTGTGCTCTGTATTCATGTTTTGGCCATCGTTTTTAAACAGGATGCTGATAGAAGTAGAAACTCCCCTATTGAAGTTGTTGTCCAATCTGATGATGGTAGAAAATTCCCGGCTAAAGGTGTCATACAATTTGAAGATGAAGGGGGACGGAGACGTTCTTTGCATGATTTTGCAGAAAATAGTTATCTACTGAAACTTAGATTTGTGAACACCAATCCTAATGCCGTAGAAGGTTTGTGCATAGTGATTTTGCTTTTCTTTAGCTCTCTTCATGTTTGTTAACATAAATTGAAGGGAAAATCAGAGTCATGGATTCATGGTGCATGGCAGAACTTAATTGCAAATGTACTATGGACTTCTCACTTTATACATGCATGTTGAATGCGCAATCGCATCTGGAGTGAAAGTTGATCCTTGTTATAATGTTCTTGCTTGTAACTGAGTACAATTAAATTAACTAATAAGCTTTGGTGAAATGAATTATTGTATTGCTTCATTTTAGGAAACATTATATTGCATCATTTATTTTTACCGGTTTCCAAGACTGGCTTCATGCTGAATGTATTTTTTTGTTGTATACTAATTATTCTCCGATTCTTTCCTTTTTCTTCAGGTGTCTGACTTGCCATTGTTAAGAACTGACTTATTTGATTAAGCATGAACATCCTGCTCGCGGTTTGCTACACCTGCCAATTGTTTATCAGGCATTTTTGGTTGCACATATTCATTTTGAATGTTACAAAGTGTTAAAGGTAATTAGGATGATGAGAATTGACGCAACTGGTGTTAAAGGGTGTCATGCACTATTCTTTTGTGGAGAACTATGTGTCAATTGTTACATCATTTTTTCCAGCTAATGCCTGATGAAGCAATTAAGGGTTCTCTGCATATTCTTTTGTAAATTGTCGTGTCTAGCTGTGTAAAGGTTGGATCAGTCAACATTCCCATCTTGTTCGACTGGTTTCTTAATGGGTGTTTCTTCTATCAATTAACTACACTATCATAATATTATTATAGCTAAGGTATTGAAAACGAGATCTCAGTCATTGAACCAATCAAGGTAGTGATTTAAAGGTCAGTGATCCAATTAGGAGTCAATTAGAAATTAGACCGATTAAAATAATATAATTTTATTAAATATACAAAAATATTTATATTAGACTGTGAAACACTACTATTTAAATAAAAGTAATTAATTCTTAAGTAAATGAAAATTCATCTATAAAATCATACACGTCTTATACAAATAATAATTATAATTTTTTGACAATAGTAAAATATAATAGCATTAAAATTATTACTTAAGAAATTTAAATTTGATTTAGAGTTTAATATTCAAAAAGGAAAAAGAAAAAATAAAGAAAAAAAAAAAAAAAATTGACCCGAATTAACTCATTAACACATTGGGTTTGTCTAGGTTGCAGCTGATTTGATCTGATCAAGCTGAAATCAAGCCATAAGTGATTGGTTTGTTCAATCAATTGGATTGGCTCGGTGATTGGTTCACCTATTTACGGGTTGGTACGGGTTTATGAACAGTGATTATAACACTTCACCTTCATACAAGTTATATTTTCAGTGTATGTTGCCCTTTTGCTCCTTTAGGTTGATAGGGTATTTCGCTGTTGAGGGAGAGCATTGGTGCAACAGTAAAGGTGTCAATGCCCTCAAATTTATTAACTCTAATTGAACATTAACCACAAGACCAGAGTTGAAGAAAATAAAAGAAAAATTAAATGAAATGATTTCTCTTTCTCTTCTATTAGCTTGTGAGGTAGAAGAGGAAAATGATCAAAACAATATCAACCTATTTATCAATTGTTAAACTTTGAACTATATTTTTGGCCTAGGTTTATCCTGACAATGGCTCTCTTCCATGCTCTTTCTTTTATTATTAATGAGTTGGTCTTCTTCCTTGATCTTTGATCTCAGCAAATGAGGCTTGAGCCTGTTTACATCTGATTGCTGAACTGGTTTCAGAAAGAATTCCTCAGCTCCTTCTTCTAAGCATCTGATCCAAACCAAAAAGATATATGAATGATAAGTAAATCAAACTTTTTTGGATTTCAGATTTAATCATGTGATGGTGCCCTTTAAATATTTTTCATTTGAGATTTGCATATAAATATAATGTGATATGCTGTTTCTCTTACCTGTTGATCCTTGATGGCACATTCTCTGAGGACATAATCACCACAGGTATATCTCTTAGAGATTTAGATTCCTGCAAATTAGTGAGATTCTATTATCTTCTAACTTCAAATAAAATGAGATGCACATAATTAAAAAGTTAAGACATGCATGCCTTTGAAAAATTAAACTAGATATAAGAATGTCATTAAACAATGATACAAGCTTTTTTTTTTTATTGGGGAAAATCATATTTAATTAAGTCAAACAATTTTGAGTCACATACTTATTTTTCAAGGCTATATGATGCTACAGCAACTTGCCTTGATTTTTCTCATTAGATCATAGCCTGTCATTTCTGGCATACAGTAATCTGTGATGATCAAATTTACCTCCAAATCCTGCATGAGTTCCATCCAAGATGAATTCAAATTAATCCACAAAAAAAAAAAAGAGCCAAGACTATGCATTTAATTTAATATCAGAATTCTCAAGCCAAAAACCAATTTTAATATCAGAATTCAACCTGATGGTTTTCTGCGGAAACAATAGCAGTTCCTACTTGCATTTCACTATCCTCTTGCAAACCCAGAAACTTCAAAGCCTTGCTGCCAGATTCCACTGCAGTTACTGTCATAGCACAAAACTCTAAATAACTAAAAATTCATATCAAGAAAAAAAAAATCCCTGAATCTGAATTGAAAACTTATCAGAGTTATAATCTAAAGTTTATATTTGAAGAAGAATCCTGAAAGAGAAGAAACAGAAGTACCATGATAAGATGAGGTTTTGAGAAGCCTTTCAATCAACATTCGATCAATCAGACTATCATCAACAGCCAGAACATGGAACTGTGCCTGTGCAGCCATACCCAGAAAGAGAGAAAGATCAGAGAAAAAGAGAATTCAGAGAGATGAAGATGAAGATGATGAAATAGAATGAGGACATTTTAAAAGGGGGGAACCATGATGATGAAGAAGATACAAGATCCTCATAGAAAATGTCAGTTTGGAGAAAAAGCAATCACTCGGATTTCATCCAGAATCTGCAGGATCTTCTAGGTTGATTCTTGAATTGAAAAACAAGCAAAGATGATGATGCTGTCTTCTTTTTCTGAATTTAATATTCGACTTGTTCATCATTATTCCTTTGACCTTTTTGAGGCAACTATATATATATATATATATATATTGTGGCCTATAACTGTTGACTTTGGAAAAAGGATACTGTCCATACTCAGTAGTCGTTACACGCACATAAGCTTAAACTTTTTTTTTTTTTTTTGATAAAAAGATCACTTCAAATTAAATAATTAAAACAACTACACCATATTATTTCATTAAGGGGCCTGTGTCTTTTTGCAGAGACTACAAATGCCACAGCGCCTTGCTAAGTCCAGCTATAAAGTTGTTACAAGATAATTTATACAAGCTAAGTCCTATAATAGTACTAAAATTGGAATGAAAAGTAAGTTGTGTTCTTGCAGAAAAAATAAAGTTTTTTGAAGACACTCCATTTACAGTCGTAGTTTTCCAATTTTTCCGAGCGATGGTTGCCTCCAAAAGTGTCTGATTGATGCATTCCAGAAAATAATTATCTGCAAAGATCGTTTAGCACCTAAACTCTTAAAATGTTTGAATTCCAAAAGCCAACTACAGTGAAATCTTCCCAAAAAGGAAGGTTTATCCATTGTTGGAACTGAAAGTTGTAGACAGCATTGTGATCTTGATCTACATCGTATACATGAGCTTAAGTTTTGCTTAAAAAGGCTTTGGCATTTTAAAAATTATTTATTATAAATATTTCTTAAAGTTAAAAGACCAATGAATCGATTAGTTAAACAATACTAACCAAATATCACAATATGTGTTTTATATTCAGGGTTTAATTCCTATTCAAACTACTTTCTCAAATCACCCCTAGTTATTACACTTTTGGAAGGAATATTTTTTAGGAAAACTATGACAAAATATTGACATATTAATGATAAATAACTAACTTAACTAATTTTTTTTCGGTAAGCAACTTAACTAATTTTTTAATTTATATGAATTAGTTAAATAGCTCCTGTATTTAACATTGGAAAGAGTATCTAATTTGAGAATAATAATGAATCTTATAGCCATGTCATTGATGTCTTTATTATAATGGTAAAACACTGCTACTACAAACTGCTAAGTGCTAATTCACTATTAATTAAAAAAACAAATAATTATTTTTTATAAGTGATACTAAGTTTTTATATTTAACTCTCTTGATGTGTACTTTTTTTCCCGGGGGGCTCCCTTATCCAGAATAAGAGAATAATTTATCCATGTTATCAAGAGAGAGAGAATAATTTATTCAGTCAACTAATATTTCTGTTATTAAAATATTTAATTGGTATCCAAATTATTGTCCATTGACAAATTTCAAGGACCAAATTGACCAAATGCATCAACAATTTTGATTCCCAAATAGCCTTTTGAATATGGAAAAGCCATAAAATGTGATGGCACTATCAAATTCTATATGTCGCTCATAATATAATAAGGATCTCATTGACTTTCCAAATCTTCCTCCTTCATTCTCCATTTATTTTTTAAAAATCATAATTGAAACAATTAAGTTTAACTTGAGATGTTATAGAGTGTTTGGTGGAAATTTCACCAGCAAAATCTCTTTTTCTGGTGATATTTCTTTTTCACTACATCAGGAAATGTAACCAAAACCAGGGGCGGAACCAGGCAAAGGAGCTTAACAATGTGTGGGGACCAAATTTTTGAAAATTAGTATGTATGATTAATTTGAGATTTTTAGCATTATTTTAATTAATATTTTTAAAATAATTCTAGAACCCAAAACAATCGAGATAATAATTTTGTTATAATTATAAATATTTTAGAATTTAAAAAAAATACAGAGTTAAACCGTATGACTTATAATTCTGTAGGGGGAAAAATCTAGTATATTAATTTTAAGAAAGAATTTAAAAACTACTGATGGTTTATATTTTTTTTAATTTGTTTCCTACGTTATTGTATTTTAGTTGAGTCTTAACTTGTTAAATACTAAACTTAAGGTTTAACAAGTTAAGTTTTAGCTTTTAACAATAATATATATATATATATATATATATATTCACGAGACAATAGTTGATGCAAAACTTATGGGCTTATAAGTTTGCTCTTAATTAACATAAGATCATAGGCTGGCAAACAACCACAACAAAACGCTTTGTCTAAGAAGAGCAGAGTTTCTGTCCTGAGTTTCCTCTCAAGTTATCTCCAAGTGTATTAAAACAATTCCCTATCTTATTTTTTTCTCGGTGAAGAAACTAATGTAAAATGAACAATTTGAATTATAAATTCTTGAAGTTTTAATTAGTTGAAAGTTCCTAAAATTTCAATTATAAAATGTCCTTCATATTTTTCTAAGATCCTTATTTGTCATTTGCCATACCCATTTTTCCATATTTATATTTATTTATTCACCTAAATAGACTTGGAGAGGACCTGGGGAGAAACCAATGGGAGATAATCTTGTTCCACCAAGAGCTCTCTCCTACTATGTTTCACCCCATAAATAGAAAATTCAAAGTGAACTTTTTAATCATTACTTAATTATCTAAAAGTAGAAATCACAAGCAACTTGTTAAGAAAGCAAAGAATTGAATAGATAGAAGAAAATGAACATTCATGAAAATGATGGTTATTGAATATTAAAGCAACATAATTCTTCACTTAAAAGATAAACTTCAAAATCACTGAGGTAAAACAATGAAATGAAAACCTTTGTTAACCTCCCTCTTGAAGTAGGGGATTAACCTCTAACATTATGTGGCACCCTAGTGGGCCACTAACTAATTAATGTGATTGACATTAATCACACTAACTCTCTAATATTCCAACACAGCTCAAAACTAGGAATTAGGAATCACAATATATACTGACGAACTTCATTTCACTTCAATTAATATTCTCACGCGCTACATTAATTGACAAAAATACATGTTAACACTAGCTAGAACCTTGATGATCAGAAGTATTGATGAGTCACATTTATCTTCTTGTACACGAAACTCTTAGCTAACCAAATATAAACACAGAAATTAACAACACTCAAGCCAGCCAAAACCAAATAAAAGGAGTCCAGATGTGCCCTGTTTAAATTTTCCCCTAGCCATTTCTCACCAGATTTTGAGCTAATTTCTTCCACAATCTCAATAACAACATTACTTGCAAAGCTTCCAACACCTACCAAGCTTAAATATGTAGCAGCTCCGAGACTTCTCATCGTCTCTGGCACTTGATCATAGAACAATTCTTGTAACCCTACGACAGTCAGTGCATCAGAAGCACCATAGATGATATACTGAGGGAACATCCACCAAATGCTCATTGGCAATACAGCTTCGGGATTGTCAAGAAGATGATTCTCTGTAGCAACACTGACCCTTTTGGCTTCTACTAAAGCTGAGACGATCATGTTTAGTATAGACAAGAACAGGCCTATTCCGATTCTCTGCAACACTGTGATACCAGATGGGTGTCCGGTGATTTTTCTGGCAAAGGGAACGAAAACTCCGTCATAGATGGGGACTGAGATGAGGATGATGACTCCTACGAGGCCTTGAATTGTTGCAGGAGGGATTTGGAAGTGTGGTCCGATTGAACGAACCATTGTGCTGCCTTGCTTGATCATGAATGTGTGGAGTTGAGCAGTGACAACAAAGAACATTAAACAACTCAGCCATATCGGGATAAGGCGAAGAACTAGCTTGACTTCTTCTACTTGAGTCACTGAACATAGTCTCCATGGATTTTTGGCTTTGCTTGAGGCATCCAAGTCGTCAATGATCATTGCCTTCTCCAAAAATCTAAAACAATAGGGCAGGAGACAGGATTTGGTTATGACTATGAGGGGCCATGGTTAACGAGCAGATATATCTGATAAAAAGTTTGTATAAATTTTGGAGAGTAAAAAATGTACACTTCATCTGGTCTTAAATGTATGAGCTAATTTGGATCCTCAATGTAAGCAATCTCCTTTGTTTCCTTCATTCATTATTTTTTTTTTCTCTAACTACTCTTGTTGACTCTACACATTAACATGTGCACTCAAATAGTTATCAATATAAGTAATTTAAAAAGGAGTATTTTCACCAGGCTAACACATTTTTTTAAACAACTAGCTTAATTATTTAATTTTCTTAATACATGTAAGTTAATTAACTAACCCTTATATTTAGGACAAGAAAGGGTATAACACCTATATGATATTGAGACAAAAATTTAAAACCAACACAATATTTGGTACATAGAAAAGTATTTTCTTAAAAGAAAATTAGAAATACATTTTGCAAAGTGAGATATATACATTTCCTATTTTCTTTTTATAAAAAATATTTTTCTACACATAAAGGATGCTATATATGACTCTCCTTAGCTAGTCCCTCCTTTCTTATGACTTTCAATCAAAATCCTGTTTATTCTTTTATGACGATGTGCAAGGATTGTGAGAAGTGAGAAGCACCTGAATTCATTGGTGCTGGCTAAAGATTCAGACTCTTGTTTACTTTGAAGATGGGACTCATCATTATGCTCTTCTTCAGCAGACCAATAATTGTGAGGATCATGTGTGGAGTCCACGCGCCATTTCCGAATCGCAGCCACAAAAACTTGGGCTATCCTTGTGAATGGGCTTCCAGTTGGGCCTTCTTTTCTGTATCTTTTAATGCCCAGCAAGAACGTTGCTAGGGCAAACACCAACACAATAGCTGGTAACCCCAGGCCCATAGCCCATCCAACATTGTCCTGTTTGTCCAAATAATATATTTTTAAATATTATGAAAACATGCCCAGGACTAAAACGACTAATTTATTTTTAAAATACACACATTTTTTGAACGTGCACCTTTCTGAAATTTTTGTATAAACCAACATATATGTTACAAGATGAGGGTGTAATCAAATTTACTGAATCATGTTTTTGGTCAAATAAACTCATTATATGATTAAAAATGTAAGGAATTACCTGTATATATATAACAAGGAAAGTAGCTAAAAGTGAACCAGCAACAGTGCTTAAATACCACCAGTTGAAGAATGAGCTCTTGGCATTTTTCTCTTCCGGCGAGTCATCGTCGAACTGATTGGCGGCGAAAGTTTGTACACACGGCAGGTAGCCACCGTCGCCGACGGATAGTATATAAAGGGCAACGAAAAACAGAGTCGCGTTCTTGAGTACAGAGACCGACAACATCAGAAGTATTATGCCCTTCAGTTTTTGTGAAACGTAGTCAAAAGTTTTGAACATCGACAAATATATAGCAAAAGAAACAAAAACGAACCAAAAAAAAAATCAATTAATTGCATTACTGCAACTACTTGCACAAATGTGCAGAATATCAAAATTTTCCATTACATCTACCAAAATTTCCTCGATGTGCAAATAAAATTTGCAGAAAGTCCCCCGAAGATTCGGTTTAATTTTCACACTTAGGCGAGCGCTTCAAGATTAGATCGATTGAAGTAGAATCCGATGGTGAAATCAATACGTTCCAAAGCACACAGCAAGAAGAAGAATAAGAAAGAATACAGATCATATAAGAGTAGAAGAACTGCATACGACGAGATAGATGAGAGACGCAGCGACAATGGTGTAGAAACGACCGAGATATGAGTCGGCGATGAAGCCACCGAGCAGAGGAAAAAGCGACGAAACGCCAGTCCAAGTGTTGACGTTCTTCGCCGCCGTCGTATTGGTCTCATGAAGAGCATTCGTCAGGTACATTATCAGGTTTCCGGACAAACCAGAGTACGCGAATCTCTCTGCGAATTCAACCCCTACGATCGAAGAGAATATCACAATCGCAAAGCGTCTTAGTGAATCTAACATTTCGATACTGAAATCGTCGTCTCTGAGAGAAGAAAATAAATCTACATACATACACATATATATATATATATATATATATGTTTGTAGATGAGTTAGGAATTAATGAGACTTACAGATGATGAAGATGGCTGCATGCCAGCCTCCCTCGCCGGCGGAAGGATGTTTGACGAGGAAAGGGTAACGATTGGTGTTTTCCGCCATTGGAGACGACGGAGACGGTGGTGAAGGAGTGAGTGGGGGGAGTATGAAAATGAACTGAAGCGGTTTGTGTCAGTGAGTTGTGTTCACGCCTGAACCGAAGGGGTGGATGTCAGTGTGTGTGTTGAGTTGTGATTAGACCGTTTTGGAGGTTACATGAATCCACCGAGAGGCGTGAGGGAGCAGCTGAGGACTCTGTCATGCCAAATAACGGAGAAAAGTGACAGCAGAGAAAAGTGTTGGGAAAATCAAACGTATAGTCCCTGCTGCCTAAATTACATCGTAAGTTTATATTAGTTATATATTCCTGGTTCAACATATTAAACTTTACTCATCTAAGCTACTCTCTCCCTGTCAAATTATATAACAAAGTTGAACTATGTTGGTTATTTTAAAATATAAAACAATTTAAAAAAATATAAGATTTTATTAATGATCTATTTTCAATATTACCTTTAAGTGGAGAGAGAATTGAAATAATATTGTAGCATAATGATTAAATGTGTAAGAATATTTTTAAAAGTTTACAATTTTATTTTGAAAAAGTAAGCTTGTAAAATGTTATCATTGTGTTTTATTAGTATGTACAATCTTTTTCAAGTTGTCTTATAATTTGGTATGAAAGGAGTACTTTTTAATTACATTTTAGATTACCAAATTCTTCATTCATTTCAAATTATAAGATAATGTTAGAAAAATTTTTGTTCCCAAATATAAGATAATTTGAAAAAACTAAAGTTTTATTAATGATACTATTGGCCCACTTTTCTGTAAAGGTGTTGAATTGTCACGACCTTTTGGGTGTTTGCGTGTGTTAGGTGTGCCAAAAGAACGTGTTCTCAAAATCCTTTTACTACACTTTCCTTAAAGAATCAAATGACTTGCGAGAATGATAATAGCAGGTGTGCCACAAATGAACGCGAGGCTTGATAGCATTAATTGAACAAGGTAATACAATGGAGGTGCCCCTTGGATACAAAGAGTCTATCAAGTTTGACAAACCAACATACAAAGTTGAGTTTGCACAAAGAAAGTAAAATTGCGCTAGGTGTGAGTTGAATACGACACACGGTTGAAATTTGAGTAATTGCACTAGGCAACTCTAATATAAATTTGGCAAAATTCAGGAGAGCTTACTTACGTACTTGTTGCCTATTTATAACAAATGGCAATGACACATTCCTTTTTGAATTTGAGTTTAGCACCATTAAGAGTAGATAACTGTTCGCATCTATACCTACCTAAAAGGAGTTTCATTGTGCAAAGTGGTGGGTGCTGGTGCGTCAAAAATCTTGAATAAGGGGTAGAGTAGGCATGGCTCTTTCAAACCTTCCTTCAATTTACAGTCTTACTTATCTCCATCAAATTGAATAGCAAATGGGTTGAGTTTTAAATTCTCTGACTTAGGCCTCAAAATCTTTGTAATTTGGGCTTGGCACTATGGTTTTGATTCAAACATATACTTTTTTAATATTATCCTTCAAGTAAATAAAAAATTAAAATAATATTGTAGCATAATGATTAATTGTTTAGAAGTATTTTGAAAGTTCATAGTTTTATTTTGAAAATGTAAGTTGGTAAAGTGTCTTTACTGTATTTTATTGGCATGCATAATATCATCTTAAATTATCTTATAAATTGGGATATAGGGAGTAATTTTTTAGGAATCTAGATTCTATGAGTGTCTTACATGGCACTATATAAAATTTGTTGATTCAATCGAATAGTTACCCACAATATATACTTCTTTCGTTAAAAAAATATAAAATATTTTTTAAAAGATTGAATGTTTAAAAAATGTAAAACATGTTTAGTGTTTTGAGGTATAATCAATGCGCTTTTTTCAGAAGTGTCTATAATAAATAAATGATAAATCACTTTATATTTATTTTAAAATAAAACATCCTATTAAATAAAAATAAATATGGAAAGATGATATTAGCTTAAAGATAATTAACTATTTTATTAGAGAAAAATTTAGTTAAAAATATATTATATTTTTAAATAGAAAGAATAGAAAAAACTACAAATCACGTCTCAACCTTTTTTTTTTTATATACCCTATATTTTAATCCAACAATATATATGACTACGAAGGGATAGTTAAAATGCATCCTTGTAAAATTGTCATTTAAGTCAACATTTTATTTCTTTATGATCTGATGACATGAATTTTTAAACATATATGAAATCTCATGATTACATTGTAGATACTCACTTAATTTGTAAAAGGATTTGAAACACTAATAAAATCTAAATCCACTTTCCAGTTTACACATCTAAACAACTTTTCAGTTTACTAAATTACATTTTTGAAAAAAAAATATCAAAATATAAATCTCCTTATGATAACTTAATTTTATTTACAAAAACTACGTACTATAATCCAAAATACAAACCAACATACCTATGCATGTATTTGGAAGTGGGGCTCTGGATTATAATATCATTGGTTGTGGGGCACTCTCGATTATTTTTGCGTTAAGTGATGCTATTACCTATTAGGAAGTACAATCAATGCACGATGATATTTGGAAGTGGGGCTGTGGGGGATACAAGAATATTAATTGAAAGGTTTACATGCATTGGGGGGATGTGTCAGTACACAATTACAATTATTTAATTTGTCTTTAGAAGAATTTTTTACTCCTTCATACTCCTGATCCTATTTAATTGGTAAAAAAAAAATTAATCTTATTTATAGAGCATTTACTAGTTTTCAATGTCTCTCTTTACATTATTGCTCTTATTAAATACTTTAAATAAAAATATTAATAATAAAATTTAAAAATATTTATTAAGGATAAAAGCAAAAAATTGTTAAATTTTAAGATAAAATTAATAAAGTTTTTTAATTTCGGTGAAACATAATGAAAATAATTTATAAATAGAATCAGAGGAAATATAACATACTTGGTAGGGTATAATTGTGTTTTTTTAATATTACTGCTATTTAAACCTAATAACTATAAGAAAGAAAGTAATGCAAATTGAAAGATTTTTTATTTAAATTGGAGTAAAATTAAAAGTTTATTTTATTTTTAAAAAATTAATAATTTAATCATATTTTATTGGTTTTAATAAAGTAGTTAGAAGTACGAAACCAAAGAGAGTACTATTTTGTAATCATATTATTATTTGATGGGACTTGGGTTCCCTCATGTGAGGGAAGTCCTCCGCTAGAGATAAATTTGAACCATCTAAATGGTTTAGGTTTAATTTAATTTAATTTTATTTTATTAAAATAAAAAATTATATAAACTATAAAAAAATTTAATAGATCTTTTTATTAGTTTAGGCAGTCCAAATTTAATATATATTATCCAAATATAAATATTAAAAAATTTTAATATTAAAGCTACACTATCCAAAATATATTTGAATGGTTAATTTATAAAAATTAAAAATTTTTAATATTAAAATTATACTGTTCAAAATATATCTGAAATTCTGGATAATTAATTTACAAAAATTTTAAAATTTTAAAATTATATTTGAATCATATATATTAAATTTGGCCTATCTAAACTTATAAAAATATTTATTAAAATTTTTTATATTTTATATAATTTTTTATTTTAATAAAATAAAATAAATAAAAGATTAAATCTAGACTATCCAAATAAATCTGAATAGCCTAGATTTATCTCCAGCTGTAGCGGAGGGCTCTCCAAGGGAAGCCGAGACCGGCTTGATGATATTATTAGGAGGTGGATATTGCATTTATATTTTTCAAATTGTATATTCCTCTCTCAGCATTTCTTCATCTCTTGTTAAGATTATAGTTAAAAAGAATAAAACCTAGTTGGGAGAGAGGGGTGGGGGAAGGGATTTTGCAAAGTCGTTTTATGGGCTATTTGGATTTTAATTGAAAAAAATTAATTATTAAAATGTGATTATGTTTGGATAAATTTTTATACTGATTTTAATAAATTGAAGATATTTAAATAATTTCTTGATAATTAATTTTAAATTACAAATAAATAATACTCCCTCTATCTCAAATTATAAAACACTTTTAAGTAAAATTCAATATCTCAAAATATAAGACATTTTGATAAAAAATAAATTTTTGTTAATAATATTATTTTAATATTAACCTTTCTATATATTCTTTTTCTTTAATATTCTTTCATTAAAGAAGTATTAAATGAAGGTCATTTTTTAAAATTTATATTTCTGTTTTAAAAAGTTAAGGTTGTAAAGTGTATTTAATAAACTTTATCACTATGTGATAGTTTATTAAAAATATCTTATAATTTGATATGAAGAAAGAAAAAGAGCCAAATAGAGTTTTACAAATATAGGAAATTTCAGCATTTTCATAATAAAGTTTCACGAGTCAAATGGAGTTTTGCATAATAAGGGAGTTTAGATAAATTTTTACAAAATCATGATTTTAGTCCCAAAATTGATTCTCAATGAAAATCCAAACGAGCCCTATATTTTTCCTATTAAATAATATGTTCTGCACTTGTTTGGTAACTTGTTGTTTAAAAGGGTGATTTTGCAACTTTCCAGCTAAAATTTTAATTTCTCTCGCACTGCTTTGGCGATCAAAGTCAGTTCAACAAAATTTCCAAACATACAATAAAAGCACCATAAATATAAATTTTATGAGTGTCACAAATTTTCTTTCCGTGTGAGTATCCACAAACACAATCATAAGATTTCATTAATGCTGGAAAATTTATGCTTAACCAGAATAAATAAAACAATCCGTTAAAGGGCAATTTATGAGGATATATTTCTCTGCATTCATATGAATCAATCATTGGATTAAGGTATAAGGCATAAGCCAAAAAAAAAAAATCGAAAATCGCAAATATATATAGCAAAAGTTGTGAATATCCCAAACATTAAAAAAATAAAAGAAAAAAAATTGTTCAACTAAAATTTTATAGAAAGTCGCAGGTAGCTAGATTCAGTTTAATTTTCAGACTTATTTAGCAAGCGCTTCAAGATTAGATCGATTCAAGTAGAATCCTAATTAATGTAAGGAAATCAATAAAGAAGAAGAAGAATGAATGAATGAACACAGATCACATAAGAGAAGAAGAATTGCATACGACGAGATAGATGAGAGACGCAGCGACAATGGTGTAGAAACGACCGAGATATGAGTCGGCGATGAAGCCACCGAGCAGAGGAAAAAGCGACGAAACGCCGGTCCAAGTGTTGACGTTCTTTGCCGCCGTCGTATTGTGCTCATGAAGAGCATTCGTCAGGTACGTTATCAGGTTTCCGGACAAACCATAGTAAGCGAATCTCTCTGCGAACTCAACCCCTACGATCGAAGATAGAACATCACAATCACAAAGCTTCTCAGCGAATCTAAGATTTCGATACTGATATCGTCGTCTCTGAGAGAGAGGAAAATAAATCTACATATATATATTTATATATGTAAATGAGTTAGGAATTAATGAGACTTACAGATGATGAAGATAGCGGCGTGCCAGCCTCCCTTGCCGGCAGAAGGATGTTTGACGAGGAGAGTGTAACGATTGGTGTTTTCTGCCATTGGAGACGACGGAGACGGTGAAGGTATGAGTGAGTGAGGGAGAGAGAGTATGAAAATCAGAACTTAAAAGGGTGTGACACTGTGTGTGTTGAATTGTGATTAGAGCGTTTTGGAGGTTACATGAATCTGCTGAGAAGCGTGAAGGGGCAGCTGAGGAATGTGTCGTACCAAATAAGGAAGAAAATTGACAGCAGAGAACAGCGCTGGGAAAATTAAACATGCATTCCCTCCTAATACATAACATTGATAGTTATTTTACAATTCTTAAAATAAATAGTTCTAATCTTATTTTTTAAAAAGAAAAATTACTCATATCTTATTCATAAGTACCTTCAAATTCATTACCCTTATCTAAAAATTTGATAAATTGTCATTTTCATCTCTATTAAATATATATGATTTAATAACATACTTTCTTTTTCTACTGCCTAATGGCCGAGTAAATAAATAAAATTTGTTATAAAAATATAATGATTTGATTTATAAATAAAATAAAAAAATTCTTATTTATTCTCCTTATAAATGGGACTAAAGGGATTATATCTTTCTGTATGATCTTATTAAATACTCCTTGGGTCCATTTTTTTTGGTTGCTCATGAGTGTCCTTTTATTGAAGGTGATCATATTCAAAACATAATCGAGCATTAAAATATGAGTACCTCTCCAATAGTAAGGATCCGAATTTTGCTTCATCATATTGTGAAGGACTAGTTCCTTTTGTTAGACCCAATCTTCATTGATCCTTGGGTCCTATTTATAAAACAAGGATGGAAGAATTTTTTATTTATTTATAAGTCACGACATTAATTTTGTATCATAATTGTTCTTTTTCACCCCTATTAAATATTTGTGAAAGAAGTTATGAAATATGTATATGTAATCATGATAAAGTTGAAAACTTAAGTAAACTTTTAGATGAAATTAATAAGTTTTAAAATTTTTCATGATTCTTGTGAAATATGATGAAAGTGATTTATAAATAAAGTTAGAGTGATAACATCTTAGGTGCCTCAATAATAACAATTAAAATTCTAATAGACATGTCTTCAAAGGAAGTAATAAATAAAGTAGAAGTATAATTGAAAAAAATTATATGCACTAATCAATGTGTTATATCTTTTATTAAAGATAACTTCTTGAAAATGTCTTTTATTGTGATTAGGACTTAGGAGGCAGTGGTCCCTAACTTACATGCCAATTTTATATTATTTATACATTCTTTATTCAAGGTATTAATTTTTACATATTTAAATAATTTTTTGGTTTACTAATTTTTTTAAAAAAGCTATGCAAATATAAATCTCATTATAATATGATTTTATCTAAACTTTCATTTGAAAAATGTAAATGTAATTTTACAAACTATAAACCAAATACAACTCTGCATATATTTAGAAATGGCCCTGTGTCCCTATATTATTGGTTGTAGAGCACTTTTAATTGGAGAAAATGATAATTAGATCCCAAAATATGAATTAATATTAGTTAAATTTTTAAATTTTTTTTTAAAAAATAAGTTAAAAATATTGATTCAAATTATTACAAATTCAAGAGTTTTAATTATAAATGAGTATTTAAATATCAAATATAATTTTTAAATTATAACAAAAAATGTATTTATAACTGTTTAAATTAATATTTATAATTTATTCTGTAAAAAATTTTGTCGAAGACATAACTATCATGTCAGTCTTCTCTTTTATTTTTGGGTTACGTGATGCTATTAGGAAGTACAATTAATACATGGTAATATTTGGAGTGGGGTTGCAAGAATATTAATTGAATAATTGGGGAGAGGGGTTTGGGGGGAGGGATTTTGCAAAGCATTTATATTTTTCAAATTAAATGTCTTATTCTTGTTTTGGTAACTTCTTAAAAAGTAATCAAAACAAATTCAGAATGGATTTCCAAATAAGAAATTCTTGTATAAATTCAGTATACTCCATCATGTATATTCTGTCGATATCACGTCAAATAAATATAAATATAAATTAATTTTGTTGTTGATAATGAGAGAGAGAACAAGAAATTAAGTAAACATTTTATTCCAAAAATAAAATCATTAAAAATAATAATACAGATTTGATTTAACTAAACTGTGGTGCTACATAACATAATTTTATTAAACAAAGCATGAATAATATGGTGCACCAGGTTAATGCGGAAATTTCTATTTTAAACACCTTAACCATCCAGTCTATTTATATAAGATGTTTTAAGCTTTTTTATGCATATTAAAAAAAATTATTATAGCATTACATTTATAAAAAAAATAAAAAAATTTATATTTTACCCTTATTAAATCATATATTCACAATTCATAATATCAACAACTAAAATATTTAAGTGTAAAAATAGAAAATTATTATATAATATAAAAAAAATATCTTATATCTTGGAGTAGAGATATTTTTTTTAAAAAAAAATTATAAATAAGAGAGGAAAAGTATATAAACACACAGTTTGTTTTCTGTTGGCTAAAATTTAGTTTATCGAAAGTTCATAATTTGATGAAATTCAATTTTATAAAATTAGTTTTTGTAATAAAATTTATTATTGGTAAATTGAAAGTTATTTAAATTATATATTATAAAAAATATTTTTAATTGTACAATTATCAAAAAATACAATTATTTTTATTATTTGTATTTTTTATTATACAAATACAATTTATATTTGAAATGTTTGAAAAATGTATGGAATAAAATAAAACTTGGTATGTTAAAAAAGAATAAAAAATAAAATTTTATATATTTGAAAAAAAATTATATAAATTAAATAGTTAAATGTACATTTAATACTTAAAATTAAAATGATTAATTGGTAATCTACTGTGTACAATTTGAATACATCGCATACTGTATTAAACTCTTTTAAAGAAACTACACTTGGAATTGGGGGAGATGCATGATTAGCATTATCACACCATCATGGTCAATCATGCGACTAAAATACCATATTAGACTCACAAGCGAATTGACTTTCTATCATTTTAATATTTTTAAAGATTGTTTCTGTTTTAAAATTACCCTAAAGTTAGGTTGATTTGTGGAGAGTTAATAATGAGTCATGATTACATATGTAATATTAGGATGACAGTATTAGTATTAAGCAGTCATTAGTCTGGTTTCTTGCTCATTTGGACAAAGTCACTTGTTTTAATTTCTTGATTATCTAATAATATATGCGACATAAAGATTATTTTGCAATCAATTCTTATTTTTAATTGTTCTTTTATAGAAAGCCAAAGCATTTGAACATAGAGATCATGCAATATTTGAATGTGCTTTCAAAAAATTCTAATCCATTGGGGTTTCATTTTCAAGGTCTATTTGAATGTGCTTTCCAAAAGTTGGTAATATCAAATAACATTGGACTTTTTGAAAGTAAAAAGCACTTTTTTAATGTGAAATATGAAGCAAAATCCGGCGTAAAATGAACTTGCTTTTGACATTATTTGAAAGTTGGGGTTAGGCATTAATTAAAAGATATAACTACATTTTATTGTTTCCACATCAAAAGACTAACCACTCAATCATATCTCACAAAATGAAAATCTCACAAACCTTTGACTGGTTCCATTATCTCTACCCATTGGAAATCATAAGCTGAAAAGATAGATAGATATATATATATATATATATATGTATATAGGAAGGCCTAATTATCACAACATATATATCTGCTAATTAAGAAACTTTTATTTCACTTACCATCCATGCACACTGGTCTCTTTTCCTGATCTTCTGTGCTACACTTGATTGTGATTAGTGTTGATGCTAGGATCAACCACTTCATCATCAACCTCTTTGTACACGAAATTTCTAGCAACCAGCACATAAACACACAAATTCACAGCACTCAGTCCAGCCAAAACCCAGTAAAAATAGTCAATATGTGCCCTATTCAGATTGCTCCCAAGCCATTTCTCACCATTTCTTGAACTGATATATTCAACAACGGTTATAACAACGTTACTTGCAAGCGTTCCAAATCCTAACAAGCTTATATACGCCGCGGCTGCAAGACTTCTCATCGTCTCTGCCACTTCATCATAGAACAGTTGTTGAAGCCCTACAACGGCCAGTGCATCAGAAACACCAAAGATGAAATACTGAGGAATCATCCACCATATGCTCATTGGTAATTCAGCTTTTGGATCGTCCAGAAGATGATTCTCTCTAGCAATACTAACCCTCTTGGCTTCTAATAAACCTCCAACAATCATGTTGATTATGGACACGAACAAACCTGCTCCGATCCTCTGTAACACTGTGATGCCAGATGGATGTCCTGTGAATTTTCTGGCGAAGGGGATGAAAACTCGGTCGTAGACCAGCACGGCAGCGACGATCATAACTCCGACAATGCTTTGAAGCGATGCCGGTGGGATTCGGAAGTGTGGTCCGATGGAACGAACCATTGTCTGGCCTTGCTTGACTATGAATGTATGGAGCTGAGATTGGACCACAAAGAACATTAAACCACAAAGCCAGATAGGGACAAGGCGAAGAACTAGCTTGACTTCTTCAACTTGAGTTACTGAACTTAGTCTCCATGGGTTTGTGGTTTTGCTTGAAGCATCCAACTCATCAATGATCATGGCCTTGTCGAGAAATCTGCATAATCGCAAGGTTCATATGTATTGATATATAAAACTATATTGACAAAACACAACTATTTAATTCATATAGTTTTAACTTTTAACATGTTTTCGATATAGGCCCTCCTAATTTTTTCGTTACTTCAGGTCCTTCTAACAGAGTTTAATATGCTCACTTGTGACTAACATTATTAATCTTTGTGTTGAGGTAGAATTATAATTCAATAAATTGAAACATAAAACAAAACGAGCCAAGTGGACAATGTTGTTAAGCTGTTGAATCACAGTTTCATCCCAATACAAATTAATGGCATTAGTCACATGTCGTTTAGGTCATCTTATCATCCTTTTGGCATATTCAAAAATAGAAATAGTAATGTTGCATATTGAATAAACTAGAGGCACATGAAACAACAACAAAAATTAAAAGAACTTATATTAAAACATTCTAAAGTTAGAGGGGCTAATCGTTATGTTTTTCTAACTATATTTTTCAATTTTGTTTGATCTTTGCACGACCAAGGTGAAAGCGTTTTGTGAGTGATGAAAAAGCACCTGAATTGATCAGTATGGGCTAAAGCACAAGACTTCGGCTGAGACGCCTTGTTCTCTTCCTCGCCATACCAGAAACTGTGAGGATCACGCGTGGTGTTCACGCGCCACTTTCGAATTGCAGCCACGAAAACTTGGGCCATCCTTGTGAATGGGCTTCCTGTTGGGCCGTCTTTTCTGTACGTTTTGATACCCAACAAGAACAATACTAAGGCCACCGCCACCGTTGCGGCTAGGATTGCTAGGCCCGTAGCCCATCCGATGTTGTCCTATTTGTCCACATAATATTATGTATTTGTGAAAAAAGGAGATGAAATATTATTAACACATACAATAACCTTGAACTTTTTTAACGGGTCATAAATTATAAATAGTGCTATTTTTTTATATTTTATACAAATAGTATTATATTTGGTCTAATTTATAAATCAATTTTAACATGTTTTATCAAAATAAAAAACTTAAAATTAATTTAATCTCTCTAGAAATTTAATAAATTTTTAAGTCTGTCTCTAATAAATATATATATATATATATATATAGTATTAACATACATGTAATCCCTCAGACCAAAATTTAATGAAATGTAAATAGAAAATTTGTGATGAAAAAAATAATGACATGCCTTATAATTAAGACTAGAAATTCCCTCTCTCTTTCTTATAAATGACATTGGAGACTGTTCAGAAAGTTCTTATATATGAAAATACTTATTTTCTATAAAAGAAATGATGAATACATATATCTCATTTATATCATTGCTAATTGATCCTGTTAGATATACATATTTTTGTGGTAAAACTTTTTGAGCTGTTTATAATATAGCAAACTTTTTCTAAACCATTTTTTACACCAATTTTTTGGGGTTAATCCTCATGCACTACCTTAAATAATAATCATTTAAAAAATGAGAATATAATCAATTACCTCAATATATATTACTACGGAAGAAGTTAAACCTGCAGCCACTAATCCCAAATACCAATAGTTGAAAAATGAGTTCTTGGCAATTTTTTGTTCCGGCGAGTCATCGTCGAACTGATTGGCGGCGAAAGTTTGCACACACGGCTTGTGGCCACCGTCGCCGACGGACAGTATATAAAGGGCAACGGAAAATGAAGTCCAATTATTCTTCAGTGCAGAAGCTGACAGGGTCAACAATATCATGCCCTACAAATTAAATTAAATTTTATCAAAAAAGTGCCCTATATATATATATATATATATATATATTTAGCATCCTTGTCAATACATCAAACTAATTAGTGTTTTTACTTGACTTAAATAAGAAGAAAATTTGTTGGTCAAAAAGAAGAAGAAAATATCAAGGTGTTGTGTATTTCTCCTACTGCGCACAATTTAAGCCAATCCATGTATTGTATCATTTATTGAGCAACAATGAATTTCGTATCAGTTGAGGTCCTCTCATGTGTACTTATACTGTTGTTCACAAATTAATGATGGGCCAACTTGTCAAATGGGACCCGCTGTATATATTGTTAAAATTTATTTTTTCATTGACATTAGCTTATAAGAAATTTTGAATTAATTCATCCATAGAGTGGTACATGTCTTATTGAGTAAATGCATCTTTAAGGGGATTGAGTATTAAATATAAGCACATTTTTTGTAAAAAAAAAAATTAAATATGGGCTTGTCATGTACAATTGTACTTTGCGAGAAATGAATTCTTTCTACTAAGTACATTTTGAACAAATTAAGGTCACGGTGGTGAAAAAAAAATAATATCATTCCCTTTTTTGTACTCTCTCCACTCCAACTTACAAGGCATTTTTGTTGGAGTAAAAATGCACATATAAATGAAGTTTATTAAATATAGTTTACAATCTTAATTTTTTTATAAACTTTTAAAAATATCCTTCATTAATAAGAAAGAGAAGAAAATATATTTATTTATCAAAAAAAGAAGAGAATTTATTTAAAGAGTTAAATAATGAGGGATAATATTGGAATAATTGTCATCAACGAAACCTTACATTTTTCAAAACATCTCATATTTTAGGGTATCAAATCACCTCCAAAAATAGGATAGAGGGAGTAATATTTATTAATTTAATTACCAATATTGAATCTCTTAGCTATGAGTTTGAAATCTATCTAACTTGCATATATAATACTCCCTTCATCTCAAATTATAAAATATTTTTGAAGGAGTTTCTTTATTTTAAAATATATGACATTTTGAGTATATTAATGTTTCATTAAATGCATCAATTCTAATATTATCATTTTTCTTTCTATAATTAATTTTTATCTCTTCTCTTTTCAATATATTAAATGCTAGGTATTTTTAAAAATTTTTATTTTTGTTTTAAAAAAATAAGATTATTAAGTGTATTTAATGAGGTTTATTAATATGTAAAATTTTGTCTAAAAGTGTCTTATAATTGGGATAGAGGGAGTACATATAATCCCTCCATTCAATGTATGTAATTAATGAGGTTATCCAAAAATACCATTAATTAGTGGTGTACTAATAATTAATAACATTTTTAATTAAGAAACTTTATTAACTAGGGATAAATATGATCAGAGTGTATAATTTTGAAAACAATTATCTAACTTATTGAGGCATAATAATCAATTAAAAATACCTATATCATTGAGGATTTGGATTTGATATTTGTAGATATTAAGTGCATGTTTCATAATTAAAATTCATATTAACAGTTTAGATAAAATAATTCATTTATTAATATCAAGTAGAGTATAAATTTAAAACTACTAATTTTAATTTTAATAATTTAAATGATACAAGCATTCATATTTGTATTGAGTGTGGTTACCGAATTCAAATTCTATCATTGAAGGGGAAATAATAATGACAAAGAAATTATCAAAGTAATGGGTTCCACCTGTACATGTTAGATAAACATAGGAGCCATCACAATTATGGGGGGTCCACTATCGAGCCTATTTCTTTCTAATTATACGACTTAGCGATAAAGATGAAGACGTGGTGTGTGTGTGCACCCATGTTACGTTTAGTTGAATTGAAATTAATGCATTTTAATTTGGAGGAAATGTATTTGCAGAGATGCGTTGATTTTGGGTGGAAGTGATGGGAATGGTAAACTTTTAATTCAACTGGATAATATTTAAATTTAACCTAATCAAATAATCAAATAAAAAAGTAATATTTTTTTCTATTTCAAATTATAAAACACTGTTAGAAAAAATTAGAGATCTCAAAATATAAGATACTAAGATAAGATTAAGATTTCATTTTACAGACTTATTCTAATATTACCTCTTTCTATTTACTCTTCTGATTCTATTTATATAGTAGGGATAGAAGATAAATTTTCATCCTATTTATAAAGCATTTTACTATTTTTTTACTTTCATCTTTGCACTTATGCTCTTATTAAGTGTTAGAAAAATTATTAAAAATAATTCATTTTGTCTTTATTGGAGAATAAAGGTAAAAATTTATTAACTTTTAAGACAAGATTAATAATGTTTAAAATTTTCACTGATTTTAATAAAATATACTAAAAATGACTTATTAATAGGATCTCAGATAACGTACTAATTAAGTGTAAATTTAAGGTTATATTAAATAAATAATATTTTTAAAATTTTATATTTTTACTTTAAAAAATTTTTTAAATATATTATTTAATTAATAAAATTTATGAATATGTAAAATTTTATTTAAAAATATTTTATAATTTAAGATGAAGAGAATATACAATATGGCATGTTCATGCCAGCGATTGATTGCAAACCAAATCAACAAAAAAAAAAAAAGAAAGAAAACAGAGAGAGGTAACGAGAGGACGAAAGTGTATTATATCTGGGGTCTTTATAACATTGAAAGGAAGTTAACAAAAACCATGGAACTGCCTCAATTAATTAAACTCACAATATTTAGTGAAAGAAACCTTGTGCACAGTGGCAGAGCCACGTACATGTGAGGCCCTCACATGGAAAAAATTATGCATATAGTATGAGAAATTTACAATCTTACACCTTATATTTTTAGCTTTTTGAACTCTCTAGATTCAATAAAAAATATTTAAAAATCTAAATTTAAACTCTATATCAACCTTCTTAGTATATTTTTGATAAAAAAATTCAATATATTTTGCACAAATAAAAATATATATAATTTTACTTATCTTAATATATTTTTTCCTAATGTAATTAATTTTTTAAAAAAATTAAAATGTTTTTTAAATTATTTATTTTTAAAATGGTGTTGTCCTGCACTCCCTGACTCAGGGCCTTAGCTCCGCCCGCTGCTTGTGCACTATATATAGGGTTGCTTTGTTCAATTTGTTCAACTTTCTGAAAATGATTAACTTACTTATGAATTATATTTTATAGGAAGTTAACTTTTCAAGAAGTTTAAAGTTGACTGCTTGTTTCAATTTTTTAAATTCTTACAAAATACAACTATTTTTTAAAATTTTTGCACGTAAAAAAGTACAACTATTTTTTAAAAAATAAATATAGTTTTTATTGCTGAAAACAAAAATGTCCTTTTATTTGAATTTTACTCCATCCATGTCAAAAAATAAGTTTTTTCAAAGAAGAAATATTTCATTTCATTACATGTCTTTTGAGAAACCAAAAGCAATAATTGAATTTTAAGGATAAATTTGAAAATATAGTTAATACTTTTATATATCAATACTCCTTAATATCATTATATTTTTCTTAAAATTTTAAAAAATATTTCAACTTTGTACTGTTAAAGAGAGTAAAACAATATTCAATGAGCCACATTGAATACCAAATTAAAATTAGATTCTCCTTGTGTATTATGTGACATGGCGTAAAATTGAAAAATATTAATTAATAATATTTTATGTGACTTATATTAAAGACTAAAAATTTTTTTAGAGTGCATTCTTTAATAAGAATATATTTTTATAAAACCAAAATCAAGATTAAAAGAAGTTATTTTTTAAGTTATATATGCTTAATAATTACCAATTTTTTTACATAATATTAAGTTAAAAATAATTTTTTAATTTTAAAAAAGATTAGAAATTTTAAATGAGAAGAAATATCCACAAAAAAATGATAAATCTTAATTAAGATAATACTATAAAATAATTTTTCATAAAAAATTTAAAAAAATTGTATACTTTGGGTTGAGCCTGGTTAGGTTTGACGTTGCCCAATGCCTAACCTGAATGGCAAGGTTGCACCTACAGGGTTTTTAGGCATTTACACAACCTTGACTAGAGGGAATATTTTATAATTTGTAACATGAAGTTTAAAAATATATAATAAATTCTAGAGAAACATAATTTATTTGAATTAACGTTAGCAAATTACTTCCCTAATTATAAGAGAAACATAGCATAATTAATTTCTCAAAAGTTGAAGAATTTGTGAAACAAGGAAAGGAAGCCTATTACTTTTCATAAACTAAATTTATTCTCTAGACAGACTAGACTTATCCCCAAACAGATTAGGATAACTCTATCACTTTCAGGAAGTCTAGGTTCGATTTGGCATCTAGGAAAGTGACTCAAGAATGAGAAAATGTGAAGAAAAGTATTATTTTTGTAATGTTTTGTAAATGATGAGATGACCTTTTTTTTGTTTTAATTTTTACATAGAGAGCTTTTCACTTTTACCAAAGAAAACTTTGTCTTTCTATTTATTCCCTTTCCAATTCCTAATTTATATAAATCGGCCCTTCAAATGATACACGTAAAGTAAAAAAAAAAAAGGTAATCTATGTGAGTATAATTCAGATGCTTTCAATCCAATAAATCAAAATGAATTTAAAACCATGAAAAATATATCAATGCTTCATTGATATTAGACTTAAATATTACAGTACACTTTTATGAATAATCATCTAAAAATAATAATAAGACCTTTTGAATTTTTTATAGATGAATAATATGTATTTTCTAAAAAATACCCTTAACATTGAGGTGTAATATAATTAATAAATTTTTTAATCAAGACAACTTACTAGATAAAAATAGACATACAAAATGTGTAACTTTAAGTTTCACTGACTAAATTATTGAGGTTGTAAATTAGTTCAAAGTGCATCTGAACGAGGGAGTAATTTTTGTTTCTCTTGTCATTAGAATTATATTTTAAAAATCTATAACTTCAACTAAAAAAAAAAAGGTTAGACAAATGGACAATTCACTCAATCATTCATGTATTAGAGGATGTAAATTAGTTAAAAATATCAGAGAAGGAGAGAGTAACTTTTTAAAAAAAGAATAATTGAATTATATTTAAAAAAAATCGTAACTTCAACTCCAAAATAAACGAATTAAGGTTTGATACTTGGACAAGTCACCCAATCATTCATGACTCATGTAACCTATATGAATCTGGTCAACTTGTGGGACCCACAATATAACAGTGAATTAAGTTATATGACTCCCAGCCCAAGTTCTCAACCCCAAGCACCGCAATAATGGATTCACTTCACCTAGCATCGCAATGGCAAAATCTATCATATATCCAAAACCAAAGCACGCAATTCCAGTAAGAATAATTGAAGAAGAAGAATGCGAGTGAGACGATCGAGAAAGCAGATTACATGCATACCACGAGATAGATGATGGACGACACAACGATGGTGTTGAAACGACCGAAATACGAGTCGGCGATGAAGCCACCGAGCAGAGGGAACAGAGACGAAACGCCGATAAAAGTGTTGACGTTTTTCGTCGCCGTCGTAATGGACTGGTGAAGAACTTCCGTCAGATATTGAACCAGGTTCCCCGACAGACCATAGTACGCGAATCTATCTGCGAACTCCACACCTGCCAGCCAAGACGACATTAATATCACAATCACAAGGCTATATTGGTGAATCTAACCTAATAATGTTGCTCGGAAATTCCAGCCACAGAATTTCGATCCTGAACTCGTCGTCGTCTCCGACAGAGAACAATACACACATAGATACACACACGAGTTGGAAATGAGATCAGAGACGTACAGATGATGAAGATGGCAGCGTGCCAGCCACCCTTGCGGGTGGAAGGTTGATTGCGGAGGAGGCCGGCGTTACCGTTGCGGTTTTCAGCCATGGAAGACGGAGACGGTGGAGAGTGAGAGAACAGAGAGAGAGGGGGGGGGGGATTGGAAGCGAAGGTGTGTTTGGTTGGAATTAATGCGTTTGGAGTGTGTGATGTGCGTGTTTATATGCAGAGATGCGTCAGTTCGTGTGGAAGTGAGAAAATGCGACAGCAAGAAATCTAGGTCAAGGCCGATAGATTTAACACCCCCCCCCCCCCAAAAAAAAAAAAAAAAAAAAAGTGAATTATATTTAATTACTCGCATCCGATCCTTTTTCATAAGGCATATATTACTATACATATTAAGAAGGATGATTGGTCATTTTAATAAGTCATCTAATAGAGTATTTGGATTTATTTAATAACCTGTTTTGAAAATAGTTTTTTGTTCTTCAAAATAAAAAATATATATTTGGTAATGTATTTTAAAAAAAATATTTTAGAAAATAAAAAAATTAAATATTGTATTTGAGAGTACAAAAACAGAAATATTTTTCAAGTGTTCTAGAATTATTGTTTCAAAGAACAAGAAAAATGTGAAAAACATATAATCCCTTCATTTAAAAATATAAGAAATTTTTTGAAAAGTTTAATGTTTAAAAATGTAAAGCATTTTTAGTCTTTTGAGGTGTAATCATGGTCTTTTTTCAAAAATGCTTCTATTGATAGTGAATTTATATTTATTATAGGGTGTTTTATAGGAATAAATATGAAAAGATAAGGTTAGTTTAAAAGTAGATAATCACTTTATTAAGGGTGAAATTCAGTTAAAAATGCCTTACATTTTTTAATAGAGAGAGTATTTTTATTTTTTATTTTTGTTCTAAAGCATGTTTTACAAAACACTAGTTTTTAAAACAATAAAATGAAAATAGTTCTAACAAGCCCTTTATTACTTCCATAACTGGATTTACTAACATTTCCATATTATATGTAAATCAATATGATCAATGTTTTTATATGTTAATGACATTTCTTAATATGTGTATATGCTTTAAAAGAGGTATGTTCCTTTTGTTCAGTGTTATAGGGTATGTTAGGTCCTTTAATGTATAATTAATAAGATTTTTTTTGAAAATTTCCTTAATTAAAAGAATAATTTATAATATATATATAAAAAATAATTGATAGCATTTTTAAATCGAGATGCAACGTATTAAATAAGAATAATTATGGAAGGAATATATAATTTTAAATTTATTAATTAATTTATTGAAAATGTAAATTGATTAATTAAAAGTGTTTTATAAATTATAACACTGAATGAAGAGAATGTATTTAAAAATATATGAGAGGAAGTATATATCTCCAATGCAAGTATTATTTTTCATCATTTTTTAATGCACGGGTTTAATAAATATGGGAAAAAGTTAAATTATATTTTTATTTTATTTTCAAGTTAATATTTTAAGCGTCTCCTTGATTTTTTTTTGGGTAGAAAAGCGTCTCCTTAATTTTAGTAAAATTGTTTAATGTGTCATGTGAAAAAGTAGGGAATATTCAAGTCAAATAGGAAGTTATAGAGCCATCTTCGAGTTCTTAAACCTCCACTACTTTTCTTCTTTATGCACTCTTTATAAACTATCAACAATTTTAATCCATAACAACTAGAGTTTCAACTCTTTTGATACGTTGAGATTTTTTTTAAAGATCAAATTAACTCTTAAATTATACTCTCTCCATTAAAAATATAAAATATTTTTAACTAAATCTCACCTTCAATAAAGTAGTTACCTACTTTTAAATTAACTCTATCTTTTCATATTTACTCCTATTAAATATCCTATAATAAATATAAAGTTATTCATAAATAGGATACTTTTAAAACAAAGATAATATTTACACATTGAAAAATTAAAAATACTTTATATTATTTAACATTCAACTCTTCAAAAAATACTTTACATTTTTAAACGAAGTAAGTAAGTTTAAGAGCGTTTAAATATAATTTAAATTTATTTTCAGCACATCGTTTTTCTTTAACTTTTAAAAACTGTAAAATCTTACTCTTATCATTAAAAAAATAATTTTTACTGTTAATTAATTAAAAAATGATAAATAATAATCTTAGGAATTATAGAAAATGACAAAAAATATAATAAAAAATCTATAAATTATAGACAATAACTAAAAAAATAGAAAATGATCAGAAATTTTTTTTAATATTTTTAAATTTTCGAAATATATTTTTGTCATTTACGATTAGTTGAATGTTAAAATTAACTTTTATTAATACTTAACAGCACAGCTAAATTGCACCGTATAAAAAAAAAAAAACCACAGGCACACACACAATGCGGTAACCTTTTTTTTTTACCAACACACAGTACGGTAACGTTAGAAACATGAACTTCGGACTTCGGAGCCTGAAATTTTTGCAGCAATTCGAATTTAATTGGTGAGATGGTAGCAGAGTTTGCCTAGAAGGCCGTGCACACGAGATTCTCTCGGTCCCACTTGGCGTGTTCCCACCTTCGACTCAACGAGTCAAATTCGAGTCCTTGCGAGTTACCGGCTTACTGCAATGCAAGTATGCGCTACACCTACATGCAAGTTTCATGATGGAAACTTTGTTGCTAGCAAAAAGGGGAAATAAAAAATAAAACAAGAAGCTTTGTCCCAGAAATAAAGCAAGAAGTGAATTCTTATTTAAAAAAGGAAAGAAAAATTAAACCATGGGGGAAGCTTCTTTCAAGAGTTACCCTCTCATGTAGTTAATAATTTAGATAAACCTAAAAAATTTTAAACCTAAATTTAAGAGTTTAGAAAAATTTTACACTTGACTTGAATAAGTCCAAAAAAAACTTAAGCCAAATCCGAATTGAATAGACTTAACCTAAATATTTGAATATTTATTTATTATTAATAAAATAAAATTAACCTTTACTTCAGCTTTCATTTAATACTCTCAAACTCCCGGTTTGCATATTTTGTACTTCTAAATAAAGTTTTAATATTTTGATGGCTATTTTTTGAATATTTTTTAAAAAAATATTAAGAAAAAATAAATACAAGATGTTAAATTTATTAATGATATAAAAAAGGTGGTTACTGTGGTATGCGGCTTGAAAATTTTTATTTTTTTAGTATAAAAATTGAAATCCGTTTTTTAAAAATTGAAACTCACTTAAAAATAAAATAATAGAATATTTAATAATTCAGATATAAGGGTTAGGCTGAAAACCTAAGGTGTTAAGAGTAGGTTTGTCAATATGGCATTTTTATGTTAGGGTATTTTTAAGCCGATTTGCCCAAATTATCTGTTTTATTCTCTCCAAATCAAAGTATAAGCAAATTTTAATTGACTTGCATAGTCTAATAAAATTAGTTTTGCATGCTCCCCATAATCCTATTTATTTGTCAATTCCACTACGTTTCCGTCAGAATTTAAAAAAAAAATTTAAAGCTTATCAACTTTATTTAAAAATTTAATAAGATTTTAATTTTTTTATTAAATATATATACTTTAATTACATTATTTTTCTCTCTCTCACACCTACATTTAATGGGAATGAAAGAAAAAATTTATAATACAAATTTAATAACATGATTGATAAATAAGATAAAAATTCTTATATATTTGCTTCATAGATAGAACTAATAATTTTGTTTGAAATTAAAAAAAATTAGACTAATGAAATTACTATTGTAAAAAATAAAATAAGTTTCTCCTGTAAAAATAAATTTTAATTTTATGTGGGGAAATTTAAAAAAATGTAATAAATACTTCTCAAATTTTATAGTTTTGCTTATTAAAAAAGATTAAGGGCCATTTTTCCCTCAACCATTCGTTTAGGAATATTTAGTATTCTAAACTTTGATATGGTGCAATTTTAATTTTCAACATTTGAAAATCAATCAGCTTTTTGCCATTAAAAAAATTTAAATTTAACTATTAATTGATAAAAAATTACAAAAAAACTAAAAGATTACAAAAAATGGCCCATAAAATTGCAAATAAGTATCCTATAAGAAATTAATATTAATTAAGTCTCTAAAATAATAGTTGATTAAAATCATATTTTAACTTTTTACATGAGTAAGAAACAACATTTGTATCATATTATTTATATATAATTTAAAGAACTTAATTGATATTAATTTTCTCATAAAATTCTTATATGTAATTTTTTTAATAATTTTTAAGTTAATTAACAGATAAAGTTAACTTTTTTAATGATAGAGTGCTTAATACACCATTTTCAAATGTTGAATGGTGAAAGTGCACCACATATGAAAGTTTAGGACATCATATGCTATTAAGCAAATAATTGAGGGGTAAAAATGTAATTCAACTCTAAAAAATTGAAGCATATCACAGTGTCTTGCATAAACAGATGTAGTAACTTTTCATTTTTGGGTTGAAATACAAGGAGGATGCTTTTTGAATGATAATTAATAAAAATTATCTCTTCTAGAGTACTAAATATAAACACTAAATTCTTTTTATTTACACTATAACATGCACAAGTGACAAGTAGATTTAAGCTTTTATTTAAACACAGTTTTAGTGGGTCTTCATATGAAATCCAATACGCACCTGATATATACCAATCAATATGCTCTATGTTACAACTCCCCTATAATTTTTAAAATAATGCTCTTTATCTAAAAAAAAATTTCTTAAATGCCTTTTCTTTAAATTAATAAACTTCATTTGAAGCAAATTTGAATATTTTAACTAAATTCCACCAATCCACTTACAAGAAGTGGTGATTAATGAGTCTTCATGACAAAAAAACAGGAGAAAGTATAAACACTTATTTTCTGAGTGATTATGTTTTTAATACGCATATTTTATTATTTAAAATTTTTGATGAATTTTATAGATAATATATATATATAATTAAATAAAAATTAATAAAAATAGGGAGGATAAAGATTTTTTTTTTTTGGCTTCAAATTCTTGACAACACACACATTTATATGTGTCTTATTCTTCTGTATATGATGGAACCCCATGTCCACAAAAGCATCACACTACGATTATGGGAGTAACACGTCTGAAATATTCTTCTTTATTTTTGACAAACACAAGGCAATAATAGTATTAGTACGTTGCTAGTTTCCTGGGT